TAGGAAAATGGAACAATTTTTAGCAGGATTACTTAATAGTTATATTCTATAATAACTTAAATTATTTTACATTTAACCTTCCAGTTTATTAACTCATAAGAAGCAGCATTTTTGTGTGCAAAGTGTAGCTGGGAAAATCAAAAAATGGTCTTAAATCGGCCCCCCAAATTGAAGCGTTGAAAATGAACTATGAACAATTTATGTGATTATTTTGCCCGACACTCCCTATATAAATCTATATATACATACTATATATATATCAATGGGATTGTGTGCTCGGCATGGCCAATAATGCGCCGTAAGGCACGGAAGTTTACGCTCAATTTAGTTGGCAAAAAAACCTACATATCTATGGGAAAATATCCATATATATATATATATATATATATATGCTTTATGCTATAGCTATATATGCACATTTATATTGGCTTTCAGTTGCAGCAGTCAGGCAAATAAAATTCAAACACAACAAAAATATTTATTTAGTTTCGAATTGGGTGCGAAGGGGCACCGAGGTGTGCATATCCATCACTCGTCCAATATTTGCCTTCAACATTTCGAATTCAAAATGCCCGAAAAAAAACAATATTGGCCAAAGATGCATATCGAAAATGGGAATTATTGTGACGGGGATAAAGTGCATAAAAACTGCAGGAAAAACGAATATCTTAAAATATGAATGAAAAATCCATCTCGAAAGTTTCTAAACTCATGCATAGGAGCTAATGGAGACTTAAAAACATAAAATTAAAAGGGAAGGCAATTTAAAACTATTAAATGATAAAAAAAAACTTTACCATTTCCAAACCAAGTTCAATTCCCAAAGATCCTTCCCCCATTTCATGGCCCAACTTAATTTGAGTGGAGCAGCCATAAGATGTTGCATGAACGACAGATTGCCACGAACGTCGAATGGCGTTGCTCTCTAATTTAGTTTTAAGCACCCCGGCCTATAAAGCATTTTTACGATGCATGGTAATGTGGCAAGCGATTTGTGCCCCCTCAACCTCTAGGGAAACCCCTGGCTGATGTTTGCAATTGAATTGCCCGAGAGCCCCCCCTGCCCATTTCCATTTCATTCCGTTCCGTTCCGTTTCGTTTCGTTTCAGACGAGACAAATTGCTCACGCCTCGCATCATTTCACTTCCGAGCCGTTGATGGATTTGTCACTTTATGACACTTGGAATGGGTGATTCGGTGATTCCGGGAGGAGGAGGCGTTCGAGGTTTGCGAGGGGACTGGGACTGGCTTTTTCGGGCATATTGCCAGCCAACGGCGCAATGCGCTTTTCCCACACTCGCACACTCACTTACATACTCACTCTCTACTTACGTAAATGTCGCCGGGAGCGACAAGAATTTCTGAGAGCTTCCTGTTCGGCGACCCCTAGGCAAAAAATGCACTCTTCGATCTGACATCGTAATGAGATCGAAATTGGGGAAGGAGACGAAGGTGAGAATGGAAAAGACTCAAGATTAAAGTAAGGGGAATGTCAATAAATTTCTAATCACAAACATGTAGAATTTTAAAGCTTTGATGGTTTAATGATGGATTTGATATATTTATGTAAAATAATCACTATACCTACCCAGGCAGCTTTGGCATGGCTTGAATGAGCAAAACACGTAACATAGGTAACAAAATTTAACATTATTCACATCAAATACATTATTAAGGAATTAATCTACAGATTGAATGTGTTTTACGACTCTCGATGGGAGGTCGTGTGGGTGGTATCTTTTCAGTTTTTTCTTTCTGGGATTTATTGTTAGTCCTTTTACACATGTATTGGGGTTAGACGAAAGACTACTCATATCATTTTCCATCATTCTTATCCAAAGTAGAGCTTATAAACAGCAAATAAAAACAGCAAATTAGAAGATCAAGCTTTTAAACAGTTTCAAAAACTTCAAAGCGCCAAAGCAATTTGACAAACAAATTGTAGTGAAATTAAACTAGTTAAATCCGAAATAATGTCATCTATAAATTAATAATCTTAAGCCAATAAAGATAAAAGCAATTAAGACAAGCAAATAATGAAGACTTAAGCACTGGCAACCCGCAAAAGCATTTTAAACAATTGCGGATTTCCATTTGGAACTGCCAAGCCCGCCCGATATACGAGTATTGCAGTCATTTGAAGTGAAATACGCTCCAGTTCGGTAAGCTGCTGGACGGATCCAAGTGGCGCCTCCCCTTAAAACTCAATTCAGAGCTCTCTGGCCCCGTCGATTTTCGACCGCCAAGCCACGAATCGCTGAGGAATGCGAGAAGTGGCAGCGGAAACAAATGGGCCAGAGTCAGTTCACAAAGCCGGAGGGGCCAAAAAGCGCATCACAAGTGGCCGGGGGTGGTGTAAGCCCCTTCAAAATGGGGCGTTTTATGGGGGGCATATCAACGATGATTGAACCACTGCACTGTACACTCTTTTCATGTGTGTGTGTGTGTGTGTTTGTTGTGGGCCCGTTGAAGGGCCCGTTGAATGATGGGGACATTGCATATGACAGAAGCGACTGAATGCCACCCATGGCAACCCGAAAACGGGGTGTCTGGGGATCCCGGGGACACTAGCTGTCATCTAACTGCACCAAAACTGAACGCTCGGCGAACACTGACGCGCCCATTAGACTTCTGAAGTGATGACAGGACAAGGTCCCAGCTAACTTCTGACTTGCAGCACTCCAACCTGCCCCGCTCTGCGACTTGCTTACCCAATAAGCACTGCAAGAAATCAGAATTTGGAACATCCTGTTACATCTATGTGCATATCGTAGCATACTTTTGGGATTTATTGATAAAATGTTTTCAAAACTTCAAAGGCTTTTGGAAAGTACTAAGCTCTTACTTAAATGAATTTCCCAAATTAACTCTGACTTTCTTTCAGTGCATTGTCCGCTCTACTATTCCTTCTAGCTAACCATTCACTCTGCTAGTCAGTCAGCCGGTTTATGTGTGTTGCGTTGACATGGTGCTGGAAAAAATGATTGGCCTGCTGCTGGAAGCCTGCACCACTCCACGGATCGAGTGTGTATCTGGGTCTGGGCCTCCGTGGCAGCCATGTGCAGCTCTGTGAGGGATCTGGGCATTTAAGCCTTTTATGTGTCGCTTTCAATATTAATTAAATGCTTACAAACCCAGAAAGGGGACATACCAAACGAAGCAAACGAGACCAGGAAATGTTTTTCTCTCTCTGCGTTTTTAAAGAACCACCAATCCACACCGTCCCCCGTCCCATCACCTTTTGCATTTTCCTGCAGTTTTCCCAAGCCCCCTTACCCATGGGAGTCTACTTTTTCGGACTTGGCCAGTGTGATTCCTTGTTGTTGCATCATTCATTAGTTGTTGTCTGGCCGAAAAAGTTCTTGGAAGCCAACTCGGGTCTGTAGTTTTGTATCCCCTGGATTTACGATACCCGTCACTTGTAGCCTCGAAAGGGTGTATTATATTCAATGAAAAGTGTGTAATAGGAAGTGTTTCCGAATTAATAAAGTATATATATTCTTGATTAATATCTAGGAAACTTTTTGAGATAGATAGTTGGTTTTAAGCATTCAAATTAAAAAGATCTTTGAGAAGTCTTTCAGGGAAATGCCAGAATCTTTGATGGATCCGCTTAAAGAAACTCCAAAAGTCTGTGGTATATGTTCCCACTTTCATTACCTTTTTGTGTCACTTTGGTTACCTTAATGGAAGTGATTGATGTACAGAAATTTGTAGTAGGCTGAAAATAAAGCTTAGTGGGCTGATTAAAGGGTATTTTATAGTCAAGACACTCGGCTGTCTGGCTATTTCTTGTTTTCATTTTGGAACCCCCAATTTCCCATGGGGTCATGTAAATCAGAAGTTTGTGTGGGCGGCGGGTGCATCATCAGTAGTAATGACTGTGGACCCCACTTCCATTGTTAGTCCGTGCTCACTGTTAAAATTATTTTAAGCCTTTAATAGAGTAAACAAAGTGCAAACTTTTTCCAAGGATTATGTATTTTTATAAACGAACTTCAGATGAGCTGTAAAGGTAAGTAAAGTGTTAAAGCGGTTGAATAATTTTTACTTAATAGAAATATTTTTTATTTAATTTTCAAAAAATATTTGGAGAATAGTCGACTTTAAATAAAATTGTGATATTTTAAGAGGTTAGTTTAAAGAGCTTAAGAGGCTTATCAAAAATCAAAAAGGGAAAAGTAACTTACCTGGATTTTCCCTTCCGCATTCCGTACTTCCTTCAGGAAACTCCTTGTAATTACTTAAAGGCGTCAAATGATGAACCCATTCCGTTTTAATATTCAATTTCAATTTCATCTTGGGTCCTGCAATCAAGACATCACAATTTCATACTTCCACCCACTCAATCGAAAAAATGGAAAATAATGAAACTGCTGACAGGAGCACAAATGGTTCAAGAAAAATATCAAACACAAGACCCTTCGTCCAACCTCAAAGGAGAAATAATAAAAAAAAGGGCTTTCCCTTCAACACCTCCAGTTCCGTTTGTGGGTGGGTGACTTGGAATCCCAAAAAAAAAAGGACAAGACAATTCCTCCTCCCCATTCATTTTCGTTGGCCCTTTCGAGTTTGGTTGGGCGTGTGACAGATACAGCCATTTCAACTTTACAATCTCTTCAAATTAAATTGACCCACGTCAGAATTGGGTGGAAGGACCCAAGGAGAAGGGTTCCCCTGTCTAGGCTGTCCTGTCCCTCACATGTCAGTTTTTTCCCTTTCGAGTGGAGAAAATAAAGGAAACGGAGTAAAGGATTAGTGGGGCAGTTTTATACCCTCAATGGCTCACATTGATTGCGGGAGGAACAGTTGTGACAGTTGCACAAGATCGAGTTTATGTTTCAGCCGATAAAAGTGATAGATCTTGAAGTAAAGAGATTCCAGGATGCACTATATAAAATACTGGACACCTCTTATGTCAAAACTATAAAATCTTTAAAGTTCAAACGGCTACGCCTTAGCCGTCAACTTGTTTTTCTCATTTTTCACAGCCCAAAAGTTTTCGTTATACCTACAGGCAGAACAAATTTCAGTTGCCTTCGAAACTGGCAACGAGCCGGTCATATTTGGAGCTAAAAGAAAATATAAATTTAAAGTGAATTAACAAAAGTAAGTTTAAAAAAGTAACCCAAAAGTACAGTTTACTGCAAAGTTCGCTCGCGTGTCGTTACAGGTCCAGTGCCGTCGAAATGTCGGCTCTGCGCTTGATTCCTCGTTTCCTTCCGAGGAATCTTGGCCAGATGCCGATAGTCGGACGGAGGTTTGCTAGCGGCGGAGATGGTATTCGTCTGATGGTCGGCGATCGCGAGATGGTTGGCTATGGAATCAACGGTCGACCTATATACTTCGATACTGCAGACTGTCCGTTTCCGGCCATTCGCTTTCGCGAAGTAACACCGGAACTGTGCGCCATCCGTGAAAAGGAGCTGGACGACTGGAAGAGTATGTCGTTGGACGATAAGAAGCAACTGTATCGCCATAGCTTCTGTCAAACCTTTGCCGAATTCCAGCATGTATCGCCGGAGTGGAAGGTCTGTGTGGGCACCGCTTTGTGGTTCCTTGCACTCGGAATCTGCATATCGATGATCTTGAAGGCCAAGATGTATCCAGAGTTGCCGGACACGTTCTCAGACGATCGCCAGTCTGCCCAGCTACGACGTATCATCCAGCTGCAAATGAACCCCATCACCGGGCTGTCGTCCAAGTGGTGCTACCACGAGAACAAGTGGAAGTAAGAACACGATTTGCCGTCTATTATGTACAGAAACGAAACACATACAACTACTATTAACACTCATATTCTACTATAAACACACACACACTATCAACAGCACCTTCGGTTGCCAATCCACTCTTAATTGCCAGTATAAAATACACTATTCTTGTGATTGTGCAAGAACCTTTTCTTGCTTGAATCTTGTCTGACACTGAACAGAAAACTTGGTTGCCTGTAACTTGTAATTTCTAACCTGTTTCCTCAAGCCATTCGAGGAAAGGGTTAAAAACTAAACTAATATTTAACTAAACACAGATTGCATTAGCTCGCACTACACCTTATTGCCAGCCAGTTAGCTATTTCCTTTTATCTTTGACGTAAACCATTTAAATATGATAATGCAGAAATTGGAATCGAACACATACACTAAGCGATCACCCATTCAATGCATAATAACCATATATAAATGTAAAACACAAATGTATCATGCAAATAAAAAATACAGAAAAATGTATATAGTTTCTTATTAATATAATATTTAATATAAAAGACAGCCTTTCACTCCTATCGGACCCATCACCCGTTAACCTCGTACTCCATCTCCTGATCAAGCCAAAAGCCCCAGCAGCTATGGCTTTGCTCCCTTTCCTGCAGCTTTAACATAAGCTAACAGTTTACAAAATAAAATAAAAATAAAATCAACAACCCAACAAGGAAAACATATTTGATATTTGAGCTAAAAATGCGCTTTATTGCAATCTTGAATTGAGATTTTAATACATCTTAATCGGCTGCATGCGGCTTCATGTCGCTGACTGTACTTGGATGTGTTTTAATGTTTTGTTTTTTGTTTGTTTTTTAATGTAAAGGTGGTCTCGTTTTAGTATGTATGTATGCAAGTATGTATAGTGGCATGTATGTATGTAAATACTAACATCAGTTTTTTGTTTTTCGTTCTTTGCTTTTGTATGAATTTCGTTTTTCAAAATTTGTGTTTCGTTCATGGTGCATCACATGCATGGAGTACAGTAGTCATTGCCTAAATGGTCGAACAAAGCTCAAAGCTTCGACAAAACTAGGTTTTAAGTTGGAAAGATACGATACATATACATTTATATATATATATATATATATATATATATCTATTTATAGATCGAGTTTAAGTACGGCCAATTGCTTAAGAGAATGAGAAGAACTAAGGACACAAATAAGTATTCAGCAATTGAAATTTTACTCGTTTTCGAAATGGATTTGATTTGATTTGTATTTGTATTTGTTTTTGTTTTCGGTTTTATTGAACTCTTCTGTTGTATTCATTTTCTTGATTCTCTTTTTATATTAGTTTAGTTTTAATGCTACCACAAAATATATTCCTCAGATACATTTATATAACTACTTAGAGAACATCATTTAACTTGAATAGTTCTTGGCAGTTATTTTTTTGCATATACATATTTCATAATCCGTTTTGCTTTAAAAATATGACCGCTCTCTTTTCTTTTTCCATCGTTTTATATTTTATATATTGTATATATATGCGTTTCCTTGCTTTCCTTCGGCTTCCCTTCGATTTGATTAATGTACGATATTTTGCGACATAAATACGCATTTCTCTCACATACATAAATATACATATTCATATTCTTTCTAAAGTTAGGCATGTCGTATGCTTGTATTTTATATAATTTCTTTCATTTCCCACCCCCAATATCCCCCGTGCACCGGTGCTTCAATCCCGAGGAGCAAATGGCATCCAAGGGACATCACCTGGACGCCACCTGGTGGCGGGTCTTGTGCACCCTACCACCTTTGCCTTTATCTTGTTCTTGTTCTATTCGCTTTACACATTGACAAAAAATGTTCTTTAAGTTTATCTCGCTTTTTCGTTTTTCGTGTGTGTTTTTTTGTTTGTTTCAAGCTAAATTGCATTAAATAATTAATTGTAATTATTTTATTAAATATAACTACTACGTTCAAAATGTATGTATGTGTACGTTTGTGTGTGTGTTTGTGTATTTGTGTATGTCGGTGAGTGTTGTCAATTTGCTTTCCCGATTTTTGATTTCGCATATGTTTCAAATGGTTCCTGCTGCTGTTCTTTTGTTATTGGTTGCTAAACATGTTTCTTGTTTATTGGCAGTGCAAGTTCTGTTTTGCGTGTGGCTGTTGCCAGTTTTGTTTTTGAAATCATCGAATTGAGGCAGACTCTGCACAGAAAGTACACATAACTAAATCAACTTGCAACGTAAAATGGTTGAATGGTTGAATGGTTAAAGGAATAAATGGTTATGGTTATTGATATCGAAATGAATGTGTGGATATCCTAGATGGCGGCCAGCGCAGAGATCCTTCCCAAGCCCAATCAAGCTTTCTATTTGATGGGTGTTGTCGATCGTATGTATGGTGTATCAGTGTGTCTGATTGATTGGTTTTTTTTGTTCAATAGATACGACGAGTTATGCACTATATAATAGCATATATATATTCTAGTACCCTAAAACTCGATCCCGCTCTTCGGTTTCCCTAACTTTTCTTCCCTTCATCTCTCTTTTCCTTTCCAATTTTTCCAGACTTTAGCCATTTTGTAAACACTCTATGTCTGCCATTTGCCGCGTGTGTGTTTTGTTTTGTGTGGTGAACTCGCTGCTTTTCCCGCCGCCGCCGCCGCTGCTGCTGCTGCTGCTGTTCCTGTTTTCCTGATCCTGATACGGGTGTGCTCCTGATTTTTTCAGCCCATTATGCGACAGCCCTTCAATCCCAGCCATTCTCCTTGATCATGTGCGCTAGCTCTATGATGAACTTGCCCTCCTTGTACTTCTGGCTGGACTCGTAGGCGTGCTCGTATTTCCAGCCCAGCGGCGTCTTGCAGCACTCGCAGTAGATGTCTGCCACCGCATGGAGGCCGGTCAGGAGCACACGCTCCTCCGTTTGCCCGCAGGCAACGTTCACCACCGAGTTGAACAAATAAGCCGGACCCTGGCTGCCCTGGAACGACTTCGAAATGAGCTCGTCGTGGGAAGCGAGGTGGGCGCGGCAGTGAACACATGAGTAGGTCCGATTCGTGGACGGTAGATAGGCCTGAAACGTCTTCACCATTGTGACGTTAATCTCCTGGTTCCTATTGGCCTCTATATACGATAGTTATAGACTGCAATCTCCTACGGTTGTCTGTCCTTAACGTGGTCTTCTTTCTATAATTAGGAATTTTATTATTAGTCATAGGATTACACTAAAACAGACTGTTAAACTTAAATAATTTGAAGACTAACGAATACGGGCTTCTTTGTTGAGTTTTCTTTCTTAACACCATTGTTAAATCTTTTTCTTTATAGTAACATTGTATAGTTTATAGTTAGTAGAATCACATTGCTAAATCTATGTACATATATACATCTATATGTACCTACTCATCCAAATCAAGAATATGTATTATTTATAAGAACATTTTCTAGGAAACTGTTTTTTCTATCTATTACATACTTTACAGGGTCCTCTCTGGACTTCTTTTACAGCTATTTTAGTTCCTCACCTTGACCAGGACCACAACGAAATCCTTCCGTCTCCGTCGCTCTGAGGCGTTGTTAACTGTGCACTTCAGCTTTCTCCAACGCAAAGGGGGCGCTATCGGGAGTGTAGGCGGTGGCGAGAGAGGCGGCGTGGCCAGCGGCAAAAGCAGCAACAGCAACGGGAGAAACTGTCGCGGCTGCTGTCATTGAACGATGATTCCTGCGATTACAGTCACTTGCCCCTTGCAAAGCTCCTACGATTCTCAATCCGTATGTATAACTGATTTCAATTTCAATTCCGACTTCGATACTGATTCTTGATTCTGATTTCGATTTCGATTCCGATCCCCGGCTATATCAGATTTCCTGCCAAAGAAAACTGCAAGTGGAAAACAAAAGGGGAAATTAATAATGCATGTGTTTGTTATGTCTGTTATGCAAAAAGCTGAATTCGAGCCAAGGAAAAGCAACAGAGAGAAACAGCTGAGTGGGCGTGAGAGAGAGAGAGAGACATGGCTATAGGCTAGCATGGGCTAGTAGATATGGTCGGGGCCTTTCCATTATTGATTTCCATTCGCAATCTCCTTGCCTCCGGCGTTGGTAATTCCAGTGGGCAACCCACACACACACGAGCTGGGGCACCGACAGCCAGCCCATGGATAATTGCCGCCCCCGAAACCAAACAAAGCGCAACAAAGGCAAGCTAGCGAAATGTAGTCCAGTTTGCCAGATCTGAAGCTACCCTATAACAGAAAGGCCAATCTTCTCAAGAACTTTTTTTTAACAGCAGATTTGTGGTAACACTGATTAAACACCCTAAAACAGTTGAAAAAACCAAAAATTACTCATTTCTTAAAAGAAAGTATAAAAATAAATCTTTATATAGCTCCTTATCTTTAAAAAAAAATAACTTTTCTTCAAAACAACTTCAAGAAGGCGCAAGCCCTCTCATATCTTTTTTATGCAATTTTCAAGATATAATCGTTTTTATTAGTTATCTCTACCTCAAGTTTGATGCAATCTACCAAAGACAACATACCCTTGGATATCAAAAAGAACGCCATCCACGAGATGGACCTGGGAGAAGTCAGCGAAGAACCCTCTTCCGAGGAGAACACTCTTCCTATTAGCGCCTTCGGGTGCTAAATGATTTATGGGCGTGTGTAGCAACGCTTTGCAGTAAACAACGAACCCAGAAACGAGAAATGAGTAACCCTCCAGGTAGGGCCCCATTTAAATGGGACAGATCTCGGGGCAACCATGAATGGATGCGCATGAATAATGCCAGCCCGCATCTATTATTCATTCCAGATGTACGCGCCGGTTCTTTTTGCCTTCTAACTCCTGCCAAAGTCGTTAATTGTTATTCACTGACCGCGCCGATGTTTACCGATTGATAAGCGGAATATAGCTATATATACATGACAATATAGAAATAAAGGGGTTTCGGTATGAGGAAGTCGGACGCAGACAATGACCGATTAAACATACTATCTGTATATATACATTGATACTAGAAGTTATAAGTGGGCGATATTGCGAAGTTTCTGGGGGCAGTATTACCGAAATTGGTTAAAACTTAGATAATTTCTAGAAATTGACGAATTTTGAAAGTTCCCTTTAAGAACAAATAATATTGAATGACTGTGTAGTTTTTAAACTTAACTTGTCAAAATAATAGTAAAACTTTTGCACAAGTTACTAATTTTTATTTTTAACAAGATTATTTGACTAGTACTGGAAAATGTTACAAAATGTGACCCAAAAACAAAAATATTTCAGTATTGGCTATAGTTCTTTAATATTCATTTTTAACTGATATTTAAAAATTAGCCAATATTATTAGTTATACATTTATTAAGGTGTAATTACTTTGTGCAATTATACGTTTTTTGGTTCAATTAAAATATTAGTTAAAAGGATAAAATTTGTCAATAACTTAATTATTAATGTCATGAATACTCTGTATTAAAAAAAACGGAACTTTAAAGATATAAAATATTTCAACTCCTCTTTTTGTAATAATTCTTAAAAATTAATATTTTTGGTAATCTGTTGTATTTTTATTCGGAAGTCCCAAGGCATATGACATCAAAATACTTCTTTTATTACAACAGATATAATTTAATTTTTTAAAGCTGTACTTTATATGTAATTAAATACTTGATAAAAAAAATCAGCAGTTTTATGTAAATATATTTTTTCCAACTCTTTAGTGTTGTAATATTTTTACATGACAATCTTAAATGCATTTAAATAAAAAATAACACTTTAATTAAAATATAAATCTATATAATTTTGTAGTTTCACTTCTGCATTTTTGTAAAATCAAAAATTCAAGTACATATTCCTGGAATCTAATCTTGCCCTCTGCTGTGTTGTTGTCCTGTTCACTTGTTTACAAAATTAGAGGCAAATTAGTCTGCGAGCTAAAAGGTAATGTATAATTAGGCCCCGCCCCTTGCTGCCCTGCACACCCTCTTTTATACACCCTCCTACTACACACACTCCTTTATCACAACGCCTTCTGCACAATCTCCAAATGCAAATTGGCTGCCTCTGACGCTGCCGACTGCGACGCTCCGTCGCTGACTGCGCCATTGACTTGAACAAAGAAAAAATGCAAAAGGAGCGAACGGACAGAACAAAGAGCAGACGAAGGAGAGGGCGTCAGAGAGGGCGCTAAAGGGAAATGCACTCGAAGCGCAGACAACAAAGAAATCCAAATTGCGCCCTTCTGTTCAATTAGTTAATTAATTAGCACTTTTGCCGGGCAGCTTAATTAATTTAAAGTAACAAATAGTTCACTGAACCGCACAATAACAAAAATAGTTAACAAAAAAGAGACCAAAATAAAAAGTAAACGTCTCACTCACTTGGCGATTTCTTCGGCTCGCTTTTCGCAATTATTGCTGGCAAACGGATTTCTATTAATTTTTGCACCTTTACTTCGCTATTTTGTTTACTTCTTGGCTCTTGGCATGTCTACTTCTTAGCACGACGACAAAGTGAACGAGCGAAAAGCAAAGCGCGCAGCGCGAAAGGTGGATGGCAAATGACGCTGCTTTTGGTACAAAACAAAAAATCGGAGGCAGGGCAGCGCTGCCTTCGCCAGCAGTGACGCCAACTGCGACGCAGCAGGTGGCAGCGACAGCAGAGTCAGCAAAGGCGATAAAGGACAAAAAAAAACAAATAACTAAATATGAATTGCAATTTAAAAAAGTAAAAAGCTCAAGAAAACAACAATTGAACGGAACGCATAATGCGTGCTCAATGAACAAACAAATTACGTGCAATTTACAGTTGCAATCAAGACAAGAATATAAAGAGCAAAAGGAGGGGAAGGAGACTGGACAAGGTGAGTGCAAAATGCAATTGCCGTTAGAAATGTTAACCATATTCTTGTTACTGCACTTTGCCTCTCCCCCTTCCTTTCGCCATCTCTTTCCAATCCTGGCTTTAAATGTGGGCAGCAACAGAAGCAAAGTGGCTTTTGCCATTTTCTTCTTACAACTTAATGTGCGTGGTACAGTGGAGGGCAGAAAAGTGGGAGCAAACTACATAAAATAAAAAGAATGCAGATGAAAACTTGGTTTAAAAGCGACTATCTGAGTGACTAAAAATATGTTGCGATAATGATTAAATCTATTTGGAGTACACTTTAAAAAAAGGTACATATATATGTACTTTTATATATTTTTCAGAAGTTTGAACGTTTATCTTAAAGTGTGGATTGGAATGAAGGGAAGTGGCTCTATTTTTCTAACCGCCACTGTGCGTGGCAAAAGTGGTGGCAAAGACAACAGCAACAAGCGGCAGCCGTGTAACGGTATCGCGATTGTGTGTCAACGCCGGCATCGACGCCGACTGCGTCGACGACGTCGCGTGTTGAAAGCAACAATAAGGCTAACGGTACTGCGCTTGCAACAGATGAAAAGCAACACGAACAAAAATCAAATGAAAGGAACAGCTATTCAAAACCATCTGCAATATCAGCTGGGTTTTTGGTCTTTAAGTTGACAAATACACATTAACAGCGGTAATTATAATTTCCCGCAATCTCTGAACTTCATTTGCGACCGATTATTGTTTGTTGTTTACTGTTTGTTCTTCGTCTGCGGCGTCTTCTTCCCAACCGAAAAATCAACTTTTGCGTCGTTTTCTCTCCACTTGCTTTTTGTTTTTATTTGGCTATAATGTAGGGTATGCGATGAGTTATTCTGACTTCGATTGGTTTGTTTTTTAATCAAACTTTGAAATTATGAAAAAAATTAAATTTCTTTTATAAATATTCTTTATATCGTTTACATTTAATAAGTTGGTTTATATATTTATGAGCTTGTTTGTAATATTTTTTTATTAATTTAAGAAACAGGGTATACACTTCTCGACACTTACCATGTGTATATAAAAGAAAGAATACGCAATAAAAACAAAAGAAGGAGCAGAAGATCAAGGCAAAGAAGAAGAGGAGCAACGACCTAACAATGTTGTTGTTATTGTTTTTTGCGGCTGCTTCTCTATGGTATTGTCATCTCCTTCGCACCGCTGCTTGGGGTCAATAGCTATGGATCAGTTGTATATATAAACATATAGACCGATTGCGGTTGGCTTTCTTATCAGAAAATAACATGAAATTTATTGCGTTGCGACGCCGCTGGCGACTGCGACGTTGGCAGAGGGCAGAAAAAAGAAAGAGAGAGGGAGAGAGGTAAACAAAAATATACAAACACATACACATGCGCGCTACAGCTGCTTTATTGCCATGTATGTGTGTGCAACAAACAAAAAGCAGAAAATCCTTCTCTTCTTCTCTCCCTTTTTCCACAACAAAGTCAGCTGTGTGTGTGCGAAATGAACTTTAAATCAAGCTTTCTTCTTCTTCTCCGCTTCTATTTTTTTCTGAGTTTTTCTAACTAAAAGGCGCAATTCGCTTGGACCCCCACACACACTCAACCAAAATAGAAGATATAACAAAACAAAATAGAAAAAAGCTAAACACGAAATAAAAAAAACAGCTATCTATACACACATACACAAACACAAACATGGGAAAAAAAACTGTTGTTTTTGCAACTGCGTTTCGCCTGCAAGTGCGACAAAGAGGGAACGAGTGGGTGACAAACTTGGGTAAATGTTGCAAACACTTACGTCCTGTGTGTTGTTTGTTTGTTTGTTTGCTCGTCGCCTTTCGCTGTCGTTCGCCAACAAACACCTCAGCGCACAGCACACACATGCACACCACACACACAGACACAGAGACGGGCAAAAAATAGCAGCCGAAAATGGCACTCTCTTCACTTGTATAATAATGCAGCAATCTGCATTGTTTCGTTTCTATTTCCAATTGGAATTTGTTGTTGTGTTGTGCTGGGCCAGCGACAGTGTGACCAGGCTGTGTTAGTCCATTGTAGTTGTATTGTTATCGCGATAGACATTTTTGAAAATTGAGCGGTTAAATGTTTGGTCTACTTAGGAAATACTTTGCACCTTAAAAATGTATTATAAATACAAATTTTTTCATACGTAAAAATTGGTCTACAACAGCAAAATAAAAAAATAAGAATATCGTAAGTGTTAGTGTCCTTCAAACTTTAAGAAATATTTCGCCTTAAGGGTGGGTAATAAATGTATTACTAACAGTTAGTGACATATTAAAACCCTTCAACAGACCACATTAATCAATATATATTTGTATATATTTGTTGTGAATATTTCGATATAGTAATATAATTCAAAAGATGTGACAACTCTGCACTGGTAACGATTTTGCCAGACCGTCAAATTTTTATCACATTAAGCTTTAGTATTTTAGTATTTTTAGACTAATAAGGAAAGCGCTATGAATAGAACATTTTCGTACTAGCCGGCTGGTCACTCTGATTGGAACGTTTTTCGCAAAAACAGCGGCTGATCATTGAAGTTTTCTCGTGTTTTTCTCCATCGAACCGAACTAGAAAAAGGTGAAAATAAATGATAAATTGAGAGGCATTCCACTGATCCAAGTGAACAAGGATTTCCAGTGAAAATCCATCAAATTAGGTCCTAGGCAAAGGCAATACCAGCCGCTGCCTAACCTACAAAGTTACATAATTTGCTTTTTTTGTTGTTATGCTGGCTGGTGGAAAGAGAAATGAAGTTTTAATTCACTACTTACCGCCTCTTTGCAGTCCAGAATGTCCTTCGTCAAGAACGCCCGTCTGCTGGCCGCCCGCGGCGCCCGTTTGGCCCAGAACCGCAGCTACTCGGATGAGATGAAGCTGACCTTCGCTGCCGCCAACAAGACCTTCTACGACGCCGCCGTGGTGCGCCAAATCGATGTGCCCTCCTTCTCCGGCTCCTTCGGTATCCTGGCCAAGCACGTGCCCACCCTGGGTAAGTCTGGCTACTGCCCTCGAATTACCCTTTATTTGGTTATATCACCAGGAAATCTCTCTTTTTGCCTTTTCAGCTGTCCTGAAGCCCGGTGTCGTCCAGGTGGTGGAAAACGATGGCAAGCAGCTGAAGTTCTTCGTGTCCAGCGGCTCTGTTACCGTCAACGATGACTCCTCCGTCCAGGTTCTGGCCGAGGAGGCCCACAACGTCGAGGACATCGATGTCAACGAGGCCCGCCAGCTGCTCGCGAAATACCAGTCACAGCTCAGCTCCGCTGGAGACGACAAGGTGGGAAATGGCTTAACAAGTTATATAAACTAGAATCTAGAAAATCTATTAGCTATTATTTGTTCTTTTGACATTCCTCACAAAGTTTGTGATTTATATTTTGACAAGGGAATCTCAGTAGCTAGAAGATTAGAGGTTCCAAAAACTGGACTCATAATGAGTCTTAGCTGGCTTACTTTAGTTAGTTCACTTTAATCTTTAAATGTTGTTTCTATAAGAAAGTCTTGTTAGATAACTAATATGTTTGGAAACACTTTCTGGACATCGCAAAGTATTTGCAAGGAACTATCTCACTAGCTGGAAATTGTTGATTGATTTATTTATATAACGCTAACAACTAGTTAGAAACTATTTGCTAAGAGTGTTAGTGAGGTATAACAACTTTAGTTTCTGTAGTTAAAACTACAGAAATGTCTTTACAATCAAACAAAAATTTAGAGCAATGGCATGTAAGGATAGAACTCTTACTAACTTTGGTTAGAAGTCTTAGATTTTGAAATACAGATCGCTTCTGTAATCTACAGAATCTAATTATTATCAGTTCAATTATGTTTAGAAAAGAATTTAAAGACTTTTGTTTAACATTCCCTAAAACTTTAACAATTTCCCGAATTACTTAAAACAACAAAGAAGGTTCTTTCTTTCTATATGAACTACAAACTTAGCAAATTGTCTCTAGAACTAGATAGATAGAACTACGTGATATATTTCTATTTAGAAAATCATTTTGTAACCATTCTTAGAATCTTAAAGCAATATATTTCATTCACAATCATTTAGTCATAAACTTAATGCTCTAACAATGTTTGTTATAAATTTGAAAGCTTATTTGCTATAAGATGTCTAGTGCTGAATGAGTAAAAACTTCAAAGATGGTTATAAAATTTAAACAAAAAGATTTTAATGATATTAATTACTAGTTTTCAGCACATCCAACACGTTCTGTAAAGGCATTTGCAAACAATTTGATAAAACGCAAGACTCCATCAGTTGTAAACGATCTTAACGATAGATAATCACCTTCTCTATATAAACATTCTATCACATTTCTCCTGAGTTTTTATTTCAATTTCCAACTAAACCTTAATCACTATCCTTCTCTTGCAGGCCAAGGCAGAGGCTGCCATCGCCGTTGAGGTCGCCGAGGCGTTAGTTAAGGCTGCCGAATAGACGTAATCACCACACTACCACCACCACAATGAAGCAGAGTCGAAGTTTGTGTCTGAAATTAATAAAACATAACGATCGATCCCCTTGAAAAGCACGAGCGTTATGAAACAATAAAAAGCGAATCATAATATCGTATTAATGACCCGTGATCCACCAGGCAAACATTTTTTTTCTCTTTTTTTTTTCCGTTTTTCTGTTAAACTGTGTGTTTATGGTTAATAGTTAATAATATTCGTGAGCCGTCGAGGAGAAATGTGCAATATTTCTCGCTCTGCGACTGTCAATATGATAATGTTACGGCAATCTTTTGCTCGGATTTATGAGTTATTTGCATTTTGGCTGGAATGTGCGAAACGAAAGAGATGCACATAGTTTTCTATCTCTCTCCCTCTTGGCCACTTATGTGATTCCCACAGTTGGTAAGTTTGTGGACCTTTCAGTTTGTTGATTGAGTTTTTATTTGGCCAAAGACAGCAACTTCTTGTAACTCTTTTTAAACTTCTTTAAAATTGATTTTAACATTAAATATGATTTGTGTTTTAGTTGGTTTTTCTTATGATTATAATTGTTAAGGAATGTTATTACACATTTAAAATAAGTTCTAAAAGTCTTTTGTAATAGCTAAGTCAGATATCCATTGATGTTCAACTGTTCAACTTAAAAACAAAAAAGTAGTTGCCTTCCTTCAAATCTTTTCCAGTTTTTGAATTTTGTTAAAAAAATCTGTTGCATACCTGAAAGGCGCTTGCGTGTCTCTCATTAAAAATGTGTAAAAATGAAAACTTTCTTCTAAAAAGCAACTTTAAAAATTTTAAAATACATCAAATTCTAATCAATAACTTGTCAAACAAACCCAAATGAAGGTAGAGATAATTCTTTTGAATAAATATAGTTAAAAGAAATCTTGACTAAGGTTTTGATATAAAAAAACCCAATAATCTTCAGTAAAATTCCGGGGTCTTAGATAAAAAGTCAGCATTAACTTCAAGCAAAAGTTAAAAAGGATGATTCTTCTTGACGTTGGATGCCCAGAATTCAACATTCTAAAATAATTAAGAAAAAGATGATTTTTTTTGGAATTGTCTATGTATTTTCTAACAAAAAAATGTGTGGTAAAAAAAATGTCTTAAATTAACTCATGGCGTTGTGTAGGAATGGTAATATGCTCTCGATGCAGTAGCAGGAAGGTCTTGCTGGTGGGTGGACAAGCTCTAGTACGCTGGTGGGCCGTAGGTCTGGGCGGGAGCGTGGCCGATGGGCAGGGACTGCTCCTCGGGTGCGAAGAGGGGAGCTGGAGCGGGATGGGGAACGCTCAGGACGGGTGCGGGCGCTGGGGCGGCATACACGGGGGCCGGAGCAGGAGCGGAGTACACTGGAGCAGGCGCTGGGGCGGCATAGACTGGAGCCGGAGCTGGAGCAGGTGCGGAGTAAATGGGAGCGGGAGCTGGGGCGGAGTAAACTGGAGCCGGAGCTGGGGCAGAGTAAACGGGAGCGGGAGCAGGTGCGGAGAACACTGGAGCAGGTGCTGGGGCGGAGAACACTGGAGCAGGAGCTGGGGCGGAGAACACGGGAGCTGGAGCAGGGGCAGAGTATACTGGAGCGGGAGCTGGAGCAGCATAAACTGGAGCCGGAGCAGGAGCAGCGTAAACTGGAGCGGGAGCTGGAGCAGCGATCTCCTGAGGAGGCAGGTAAGAAGCCACTGGAGCAGCCACTGGGCCGGGCACATCAATAGGGGCGTAGGCGGGACCAGCAGCTGGGGCAGCATGTTCGTGGATCACACGCACGACCTTGGTGGCTCCTCCAGAAGAGTAGCCTCCAGCAGAGTATCCTCCGGAAGAGTAGCCACCGGCAGAGTAACCACCCGATGAGATGCCGCTGTCGTGGCTCTCGTGGACGACCTTGATAACCTGGGACACGGCACCGCCAGATGAAGAGCCACCGATGAAAGAGGGTCCAGCCACGGGTCCAGAAGCCACATTCACCACCTTGACGATCTGAGGGGCACTCTCAACCAATGGGGCGCTCACGATGGGTGCGGATTCCTGCAGGATCTTGATAACCTTGACGGAGGCGGGGGCTGGTCCTGCGGGTGGCAGGTAAACTGGGCCGGGAGCAGGTCCGTGTCCACTGCTGCCGCCAGAGATGACCTTCACCTTGAAGACCTGGGGAGCAGCTTCGTAGGAGTAACCACCGCCATAGCCACCGCCGGAGGAGTAGCCGCCACCGCCGCCGCCTCCCTGCTGGTGGATTACCTTGACCACCTGGACTGGGCCACTGGGACCATGTCCACCGTAGCCACCACCGCCGCCGCCGCCGCCTCCGTTGCCACCGCCGCCTCCAAGGCTGATGCCTGCCTTCAGATTGGCACCACCGCCGCCGCCACCACCACCGCCTCCTCCGAGGAGACCCAGGAAGCCAGCGTTGGCCACAGCGAACAGAGCACACATGCAAACGAAGACCTGGAGGAATGACAAAGTGGGGAATGGGTAAGTCAAGTGGTTGGAAATTTTTTTAAGTGATATTTCTAATGCAAAAAGTTAAGTTTAATTTAATTTTTTACACTTTCAATTCTTTGGGATTTTAAGGGTCCTTTTCTTACAGAATTAATCTCTTTTTTTCAAGATTTCTTTGTGGTTTAAGGCATTGATTTTTAATAAATATTTTATGTTTTTAAAGTTATCTTTTGTAACAACAAATTTTAATACAAATTCCAGGATCTTCGGATTTACAAATTTGTAATTTTTGCCTTTGTAATCATTTTTGGATGTATTTAAAATCTTTTATTCCTTTATAGTTATGATATTATTATTAACTTGTTGTTCTCTGACACACTTAAGAGATTTAAAAAAATGTTTTTTATATCACTTTCTTGAGTTGATAAAAAATGTGTTTAAAATCCAGGATGTTTGTTACAACTTTATCACGAGTTTATATCTTTAAAACAGGTTTCCTTGGGCACTTTTTGAGATCATTTTGTTTAAAAAAATAGTAAAAAAAAAACAAGCACAGGATATTTTGAGCAGCTCACCTTCATGCTGACTACTAATCCACTTGATGCGATGATACCAATTCCAAAAAACGCCTTGAGTGCCGATGAGCAGCGACTGATGTCCGATCGATCGGAGACCAAGTCTTTTATACGATGTAAGCCATCATTGGCGAACAAAAGGCGTTTCATTAACATTTCCAAACTACCCATCATCATCATCATCGTGAGCAGTGCCATCATCATCATGATCATGATGGGCTTTCGTTTTCATTATAATTTTCACCCAATGCTGGGCGCACCCAACTTCCAGCCTTGGTTGGTTCTTCTTCTCTTTGCCATTTGGATTCGAAATTTTGGATCTCAGATCTCGGTTTCTTTCCAGTTACCAGTTATCATTGGGTTTCAGTTTTTAGATTTCAGTTTGTGATTTCGTCAAGTCTTACGCTGCATTTCCCAAATTCCGAACGGGCTCCCACAATTAGCATGAAAATGAGACGCTACGTTAGTGATAAGCCCGAATGCGGCTTTCATATTTTTTATTTGGGCTCTTATGTTTTAGGTTTAGGTTTTCGTTTTCGTTTTCGTTTTCATTTTGTATCTCTTGATTTCGATGTCATTTGCATACACGGGCGCTACAGAGGAGTTGCCTCACAAGGCGGCCGGCAGTCTGTCATAAACCAAAGCGAAAACCGAAACCAACCCAACCCAACCCATCCCATCCCATCCGGCGATTTCAAGGTGAATCGGAATTGGAATTTCGAATCTAAATCTGTTGTCAACCTGACCCAGTCGAGCCATCATCAATTGATGAGGCCCTGCATATATTCCATATAAATGTGTTTTATACAGCCGATTATGCAAGTGCCAGCCGCATCTTTGAGCCATGTAAAACGCATTATGTTGGCCCAATATAACCATAAGACGTTGTAAACTTGGCCAACGGGGCGGATCAGTGATGGCTGCCGAACTAGGCACATTTTTAGATCCCTACTAAGTAATATGTTACCTAAATGCAGCTATGAATCAAATCATATAATCAGAGATTTAAATTACTTTTAAGTTAGTTTAGAGCACATTGCTTTGAAAAGTGATCGATATCTGTATCTATGATATAAATTGTTATTATTATTTTTGGCAGTACTTACTTTATTATCTATCAAATAAGAAGACAGAGGCTATAATCTTATTATGATCTAAACATTAGGTGAATTTTGTTTTATAAGTATCGATTTATAGTACTCATAAGTTTATCTAAGTTAAAAATCCCCTAAAAAATGTACCAAACTGCACTATGTAGTACCTTTAGATGAAAGTTCCCCCAAAAATGTACCAAAAATGCAGCTTGGCTTGCAGTGGGCAGATCAGATTGCTGGCCCTAAAACACGTGTGGGAAATCGGGGGATTAAAACGGAAACATCCAAAGGTTGCTAAACTACTAATCGTGGTTATGATCTTGTCTTGGTTTATTATGGCTCGTTAATTGATCCATGCATGGAATGCAGCCGTTGGGAATATATTAGTGGGTCTTCAATATCGAAACAAGTTTAGTTTAAGCTTTTAGTGTAATTTTAGTTTTTAGTTTTTTTTTTTTTTGAGAGAGAAACTATATATTTTTTTGGTGATATATTTAGTATTCTGTTTCTTCTGTAATAAATATTTTGTAGACCTTTTATTTCCTCATAAATCAACGCACTTTAACCTTTGACCATGCCATTATCTTCGCAAGCCATCCCATCAATCGCCTTTTGGCCACATCAAATTATTTATTTATTCGATTGGCTGCAGATTAAATTTGCTGAGATAAATTTTGGAAAAATGTTTGGGCTACCTAAAGCTTATTTTTAGCTTAAGATAAATGGTCAGAGGTTTTTATATTTATCTCCATTATTAAAAAGTTTTTAAACTAACAAGTTAAGTAATGTTTATTATTATTAATTTAAGTAAATCATCAACTTTATAATAGATATTTGTTCGTTTTATTCAGAGTTTGTTTTTCACATCAAAAATCCTTGTCATCATCTACTTCTGCTTCAACCAGCCGCCGTAGGATTGGATCAGAGGAGCATCGTAGACGGCGGCATGGCCAACGCGAACCACGGAGTTCACCACTGGCACGGAGTCAACAACGGGCACATGACGCACCACTGGCACGTTGCGCACCACAGGGACATGACGGACCACGGGAACACTGCGGACCACGGGCACTGTGCGCACCACTGGAATGGAGGCCACCGGGGAGGAGTAGATCACACTGCTCTGGGCGAGGGCCACGCAGGCGGCGATCAGGAAGCTGGCAATGAAGAACTGAAACGGGAGATGGTTGTATCATTTAGTAAAAATCAGATTTAGGGATCTCTAAATGTTGAAGATCTTGAAAATAATATTTTAATAACTTAAAGAAACGATAAAGGACTGTATTTATGAATCAATAATAACCAAATTTTAGGATAAAGCTATAAAGATCAGGACAAGAGGGATATGTCTTTCTGGAATAATGTCTAAATTTAAAGTGTCTATTGAATTTTATTTTGTAAAGAAATAGCTATTAAGAACTAAAAAACAGATTAAAAATCGTAACTTAATCATGGAAATAATTACTAAATATTAAAAATAGGATGCATTATTGATATTAATAGCCAAATTTGGAGATGCAAAAGTTGAAAACTAAAGATCGAATGTTCTTTTAATCTTTAAAATAAATGCATGACTATCTCAAGTATATATTCCCCTTATTCTATTATAGGTCACTGAAATTTCTGACTTATAAAATTTAAAAAAAAAATGTTAAATATGTTTCATTTTCACGTCTGGCACATCAAAAATCTTCATTCTTGCTTTTATTATTTTTTGATAATTAATAATTGATTCATTTAAGTTTATTCGACGCAAATTCAGTCAAATAATTTTTAATGACAAAACATATAAATTTGCGGAACAGCACTTTGTGTTTAAGTACACATTTTTTTTTTTTTTTTTTTTTGATATAACAATATTAATATTTATTAAACGTCAATCAGCCAACTTAATGGCTATAATACGTTGAGTACTACATAGAACAAAATAACATAAATACCTAACAGGAAGGAAATTAACAAATTTTTATAACTAGATAACTAGAGATCAATGCTAAATGCTAATGCTAAATTTACTGCTTTAGGACTCGAGAAATTTGGCGTCCTCTTGTCCAGAGATCGGCTGGATGCCTTCGCTTTAAACGTCTTCTTATAGTAGTGAGAGCTAGCGAGGAGGCTAGGTGGTTTGTGTGAGCTGTGAGACGATCGTTATACCGACTCGAGTGCCTGTTTATCTGTTCCCTAATAGAGGGAATGTGGAGGTCATCTTCTAGAGCTTTGTTTCTGACGTACCAAGGCGCATTTGCAATCATGCGTAACGCCCGGTTTTGAACCCTTTGAATTTTCATGACGTTAGAATCCGAAGCCAAGCCCCATAGTTGGATGCAGTACATCATCGAGGGCACCACAATTGATTTGTACAGTAGCACTTTGTTAGCTAGGCTTAGCTTGCTCGTTGGCTTAAGCAACCAGTAGAGTTTCCTAAGCTTGGAACGACAAGTAGCTGCTATTTTCGAAGTATGCTGCCTCCACGTGAGGCGCTTATCTAAAATGAGGCCCAGGTACTGCGCCTGTGATGATTGCGGAATGATGTCGTCGTGAAGTTTGACCTCCGGAAGGGACTGCACTCTCCAAGCGAAACAGCAGTGTTGTGATTTCCTTCCATTAATCGCTATGTTCCACCTGTTGGTCCACTTGCCGTATGTGTCCAGAAATTCCTGGGTGATTCTTGATGCCTCGATACGGCAAGAGGAGTTGACTAGGAACGCCGTGTCATCGGCGTAGGTGGCCAGAAGTGTGTTTGGTTCATTCGGACAAGGCAGGTCAGAAGTGAACAGAGTATACAGCACGGGACCCAGGACACTCCCCTGTGGAACCCCAGCACGAGCAGATCTTATGCTTGACCTCACTCCTCTTACTTCAACCATAAAACTTCGACCAAGTAAATATGATTTAAGTAAGAGGAATTGGGCAGTCGGGAGAAGAGATTTCAGCTTATACAGCAGGCCATCATGCCACACGCGATCAAAGGCTTCCTTAACGTCGAGGAAGATAGCAGAGCTGTATTGTTTGTTTTCAAAGGCATTCAGAATATGGTGCACAACTCGATGGACTTGCTCAGGAGTCCCATGTTGCTTCCTAAAACCAAACTGGTGGTCGGGAATGGCGTCCTGTATGGTTCTTACTCCCATAATTCTACTAAGGAATATTCTCTCGAATATTTTAGAGAACGTAGGTAGTAAGCTTATCGGCCTGTATGATCCAACAAGGTTCTCCGGTTTTCCTGGCTTTGGAATCATCGTTATCACGGCACACTTCCATTGGGACGGGAAGTGGTGGATACGTAACATCGAGTTGAAAATGAGAACAAGAAACAGGACTCCCTTTTAGGGAGAGCCTTAGCAACCCTGCTATCAATGCCATCAAATCCTGGCGCCTTGCTGGAGCGTAGCTTTTGAATATGGAGGCAAACCTCTTTTGGACTTATGTGCTTTATGGGGAGTGCATCCGGAGCAGGAGAGTTGAGAAAGGCCCGAGTGTCAGCGACATCCTCCGAGCTCGCAAGGTTGAATGGCTGAAAGCGTTGCTCTAGTTCTTCGGCAAAAGCTAATGAGATCTCTGAGTCTGATTTGCACCATGTACCGTCTGTTTTCTTAATTGGGATCTTCCTAAGAGGCTGCCTTTTTAATTTCCTTGTAGCTTTCCAGAGATTGAAGCCGTAAGGTTTGCTGGGGTCCGCATTGAGAAGCATTTCCTCAAAGAACTCACGCTTGGTTATACGCAGGAGTTTTTTAAGCTCGTCTTCAGTACGTCGATATGCTCTTTTGTCGACTGGATCTTGGGACCTCATAAATCTACGGCGCAATGATCTTTTCAGCCTTACCAAGTCCATAATCTCAGGTTTTAAAAGTGCCTGAGATGGATTGGAAGGTTTGGAGACTTGCCCGTAGGTTGACGATTCCGCAGCGATATGAATGTTCCGAGCAAAAGTTTCAACTGCATCGTCGATATCTTCAGGGGAGTTGAGCACCATATTGAGATTAACAAGTCTGTTAATTACCGCCTGAAACCGCGGAACACTTGCATTACGAGGAAGAATTTGAGGCCGCCGACTAATTTTTAACGCAGCGACTCTTAATGAAATTATTAGTGGAATGTGATCAGAGCTCAGTTCGAAATATTCTGTAATAGAAAGACTCTCCGGGCGTATCCCTCTGTAGACTGCAAAGTCAATGGCTGTTGGCGAATTCTGGCTGTATGGATAATGTGTGGGTCCTCCAGTTGCAAGGACCTGGAAATTTGATCCTTGAACAAGTTCCGCGAGCGCTCTTCCGCGGGAGGTTGAATTTCGAGACCCCCAGAGTCGATGGTGGGCATTCCAATCACCAGCGATTATGAAGTTTGTTCCCAGATCGTCAAAGAGTTTTTCAAAGTCTTCGGCAGAGCATTGAAAGTTAGGCGGACAATAAATAGACGCAATAGATATTTCACCAAGGACGGTTTTGACTTTAACTGAGACACATTGAATATTTGGACTTTGTAAACTATAAGACTGGTAACATTGAAGGCAGGATTTTATAATTATGGCAGAGCCACCGCGTTTCCGATCGGCAGGATGGTTCGCTTGATGGGTATCGTAACCATGCATGTTGTAATATGACCTTGAACAAAAGTGTGTTTCACTAACTAGCATAATATCAATATCATGGCTTTGAACAAAGAGCTCTAGCTCAAGGGCTTTGCTAGTGAGACCGTCAGCGTTCCACACACCAATGTTAAGGCCGATTTGACTCATGGTTGCGTTACATGAACCGGGAGAGATCCAGCGAAGGCTTCAGCTCCTCCTAGAGGGTGTTGTGGTAGCAATTTAGAAACAAGACCCATCATCGACACCATCATTTGGAACATCTTGTCAAACTGAGCTACAAGGACCGACAGTCTTTCGTTCGATTGCAAGAACATTTGCTCTTGACGTTGCCATTGAATATCATTGACTGACTGCTGCGTGGTGCGCCGCTGTTGTTGGAGTAGAGATTGCTGTGGGTGTACTTGTTGCTGCTGTAGTTGGGGCACCGGCCGCTCCTGTCGAGGTGGTGCATTGTGATGAAGAGTCGGACTTTGTTTCCTGTTATTGCTGCCCAGCGGAGGAAACTGTTGTTGGCTCTGAGTGGGTGTGGGATAACTAGTTTGTCCACGGACAGCGTTAGCGTAGGAGCTCGGAAATACAGGATTTGTCCGAGGAATGGAGGTAGGTTGCTGTTGGAGAGTGGTGGTACGCCTTGATGTACTAATTTTCCGCCGACTTGCAATCTGCTGATAGACAATACAACCTTTATAGCTAGCTGTATGGTTGCCGCCACAGTTCACACACTTGACCGGATGAACATCCTTTAAGCACGCCTCCAGGCCGTGCTGTAAGCCACATCTGACGCAGTTGTGGAGTTTTTGGCAGTGATTCTTGGTGTGCCCAAATGCTTGACACCGGTGGCATTGCACGACATCATCCTTCTTATAAGGGAGCTCAACTTGAACCCGTTGCCGACAAAGAGTCTTGACCTCATGAATTTCTTTGTTGTTAGCCGCCGGTTCTAGCTCGACAAAAACCAAGTTGACAAACTGTGTTTTGTCAAATCGGCTCCTAGGTCTGTTGACAAACCGAACCGTGTGTCCAGCTGAGGTAAGGCTTTCCTTAATGTTGTCATCGGGTACAGAATGATGGATACCACGGATAACTACACGGTAGGATCTCTCTTCTTTTAGTTGCCACGAATGGAACGGCACTTTTTGGCTGTTAAAGATTTAGTAATAGCTCTGTACGCATCAGAGTCTACTGCTAGGATAGATACAGAGTTATTTGGATGGCATTTTAATGAGTACTTGCATGGGTCAACAATTTTGTCTATTGATCTTATGAGACCATTTAGGTTTTCACAATGATTAACCACAATAGGGGGTGGCTTGTGGGAGGCTGGTTGTTCCTGGCATCCAGAAGGATTTTTGCTGTTGTTGTTGTTAGTTGATGAAGAAGAAGAAGTTTTGTTGGCAGCCTGCCTTAATCCGGCAGACGTACTAGGAGTTTCAATAGGTCTGGTCGGTCGATGAGAACCTGCCACCTCAATGTCAGTGTCGATGTCCGATAATTCAGAAAAACGGTTAGCTGGAAGAATGGTTTTAGGGCTATTCGAGTTTCTTTGAACTTTGCTGACTTTATTCGGTGATCTTGATTCGAGGCGACGTTTGTTGTTAGTCGATCTTGGGGTCCACCAGTCTTCGTCGTCGCCGTTAATGGCTGATAATTCCGGTTCACGTTCGTCGAATGATGGTAATGGCTTGGCGCTTGAGGTAGAAGCATATATTCGGCTGAAGTTATTTAACGCTTCTTTCATTGTTTGCTGATGACGTGCTACAGTCTTTCTTATGTTTAGCTCATCCTCGGAGTCTGAAAGGCGAGACATTGTACGATTTTAGGCACTTCCGTGCACTGCTTTACCGACTGGATTGTTAGATGGTCGCTTATCCCAACAGCGACAAGCACTGATCGTAGCCTAGGGGGCAAGCGCAAGCCCCTCAGCCGGGACGTACTTGGCTCAGACCCGCCGAGGGGTGAATTAAATTTTTATTTTATTAATCTCTTTTTTTTAATTTGTATCGATCGATCGTGATTTTGTTTTCGTTTTCGTCTTCTTATTGTTCCACTTGTTCTGACTAACTGTTCAACTTGTTTTCGCGACGAGCACAACTAACGGGTCGTGGGAGCACTGACAGCGACTTTTTGAAACAATTTACCGGGGGATTTATTTTGCCACAGATGTGGACTTGTCCATTGACTTTTTACCAAGAATTCGTAGAAATTCACAAAAGAATTACGCTTTGCCACAAACGTGGACTTCTCCATAGACTCTACACAATGAAATCCGCAGCAATGCAAAAACGCGTCTGCACTACACGAAAGCATGATCGAGACTGTGTTTAAGTACAAACCATAAAAATAAAAAAAACCCGAAATAAATTTGTATCACTTTTGTATTAAAATTGCATCATACTCGTTTTTATATCACTTTGTTTAATTTTAATGGAATTTTTTGACACTTAAAAAAAAATAAAATAAAAAGAACTTGTATTTCTACATAAATTGTCATCGTAAAATTACAATTTTATGGCACTTTGTGCTGGTACTTGAGTATCCTTATTCTTCTGTATCCTTTCTTTAGCTTCACTCACCTTCATGTTTCTGTGCTTGGTTCTGGTTTTTTGTTAGTCTAGCTGGAAGGCTGGATGATTTGTGTTGATCTGTTGGCCGTTTTAGAGATCTTATATACCCATAACGAAGCCGTCAAGAATCTCTGAAAGTGGAGCAATAAAACTGGCCAAAAAGAACGTATACGGATGCAAATTTGTGCGGGGTTTGTTTAATTGTCTAGATACAGATATTTGGTGGCATTATCATTGATATTTACCAGATTTACCAGAGATGACCGAACAATGCTTGCCAGAGCCATAACTTATTGGTGACGGAGACGCCTTTCAAATCGCCAGAACAATGAGAACTTGTTCCTCCTGCGACAGGTGATCATCTCACCTGGCGAATTTCCGCACCTTTGATGAATTCTTGTGCAAATTGATTGCTTCATAAACGCTGACTTGTGGGTTTATCATTTCCATTTTTGGTCTTTTTCTTCTTCTATTTTTGCCAAACTTTATTTATGAGCCCATTGTCCACGCCCTATTATGCTTTTTGGTCCACTCAAAATCATGCAAATTTATGCAAATTCCCGCCGAGCTTCCTCATCACAAAAAGCAAACTAAACAAAAAATTTGTTTTTTTTTTTGTTTGGTTTTGATTAAACTTTTTATTGAAATTTACTTGTTAACTTTAATATTTTTAAGCTTCTGTTTATAGGTTAAAAACATTGCTTTTATAAAAATTGACATATTTAAATGGATCTTATTTTTGGGCTTAAAAATAGGCAGTGTTTCCAAATTTGTTTTGTATTTTGCATAAATTTAAGTCGTTTTCATTATCGTTGTTGTATTTTTCTGTCTAAAAATAAATGGTTATGGAAAATCTTGTATTATTTTGTTAATTATATTTAGCTAATATCTATCAGATACTTACATATAGCCTTAGATGAAGTTTTACTAGTATTTGCATTAATCTGGAAGTTGCAACCTAAAGTCGATTGATTACTCAATTTTTTGTTTATAATACTTTCTATTTGGTGATCTTTTGGTATTATTGAAATATATACTGGAGGATTTGTGTTAGATTCTACTCTTTTCTTTGTACTTCTTGCACTTCTATGTATATATTTATACTTATTTAGATCTGACATTTTCAAAGTACTTTTTTATATTATCAAACAAATAATTACCCAATCATATTGTTTGTAATGCCTAATTTTTAGTATTAACTTATTATTGTTATTATTATTCTTAGTAAAATTATAAAATCATAGTCATTTTCTCTATAGAAGCTTGTATAAATATGCACTTTAAACATATTTAAATTAGATTAATTACCCAACATTATTGTTTCACATCTTTTCTTATGCAGTTTGTTTGAGTCTCTCAAAATATATTTTCATGCTAATGTATAAAAATCCATTTAAATATAATTATAATTATAGTTTGAATTTAAATTATTGAAAGTATTTACAAAAATCTGCAATTTATCAAACTGTTGTCTACTAATTACCCAATCTTATTGTATTTAATACTTTTGTTTGCAGCTTGTTTTAAGTCTTTGTGCAGCTTACATATTTTATGACGACTTTTGTTTAGTAAACATTTATGTAAATCTTTTGTTCATTTGCAAACCACTTTCTCCTAAGCAATGGGCAAAAATAAAAAGCTAAACATGGGATTAGCTATTGTTTTGGTTATCATTTAAAAATGTAGAGTCTAAAAATAATATAAATAATAGTATAAGTACCTAATGCGTAATAAAAAATAAATTATTTCATTTTATGTGGGCGTTAGGGCAGTTCTTTACAGCACTTCTTATGATCTAAGAAGTGTTGGCTAACGATTAAAGTGAAGTTTTCTTTAGTCGTTAACAAATTCAAAAAAAAAAAACTCAGGAAACCATGTATTCTTATTAAAACGTAATATTATTAAATCACTTCAATTTGAGTTCATTTAAAAGTAACAGTTTTCGGACTTAGAAGTTAACCAGCACTGCCAGCGGTTCGATAGACCACACAAATAACTCCTCCCTGTTATCGAAAAACGATAGGTAAATACAAAAAAATAACAGCTGTTTACATCGCTCCATCTCCCTCGCACGCTTTTCGCTGTGCTGTGAATTTCTTTTTTTTTTTATTTGTATTAAGCAAATTGTTTAAACAAATTGCAGAAACTAGGCCTTGATGGCGGTGTAATCGAATATCAGTTGTAAACAAACGAAGTAAAAGGGCGGGAAGTGCGACATAAACATTGGGGATTCCGTATTTGCAACATGAGTGCGACCAATCAGCGAGTCAACAACAACAACATGGCGCACCTGCAACAAAAATCTTCATGTTGACGTCAACAAAGTGAAATCCGATCAAAGAATCGAACCGATAAACAAGACACAAGAGGAAGAATCACGGATTGCCAGGTGAAGAGGAAATTCCGAGGACGAGGATCACCAGGATCACCCCCAACCCCATCCAGACCATTCAGATCAGGATGTATTCCGAGTGGGCCTCGTTGTCGGCCCAAATCACGGCCAACAGCTGCGGTGCGCAGTGCTTCAGTGTCCTCAATAAATTTCCTGCCTCCGCCGGACGCGAAGTGGTCGTCTCCGTTGTCAAGCAGCTGGGCACCAACTTGGGAATCACCCAGAACGCAGAGCCCAGTCACCTGGTTAAGGACGAGGAGGTGGGTGTTGCCTGAACAGGAAATGCATAAATCAGTTATAGAAATTACAATCTTTAGTACATCACTTAACAGTCAGGTCACCTCACATGTACATGTTTTCAATTAGATGAAAATGTCTTTAGGGATAGAGGGTCAGGGGTTATCCGAATATGATTCTAGATATAAAAATGTAAATATCACATACATATCACATTCAAAAACTATGAAGTAGGTTTAAAATATCATGAATAGTTGTTCTAGCTAGTGATTAGGCCATAATATCCCAAGTATTATATCATTCTGTGATGATCAGTGAAATAGATCTTTTTTAACTTCTTGATTAGATCATAAAGATCTATATTTTTCTAAAGCATATGTCTATATGTCTTATTTCCCATTTCATATGTCAACTATATATTGGATTGACATTTATTCACATCTTGAAATGACTTGATAAAACAAAAAATAATTTTTACAAGCACATGACTAAGTCTTTGCCACATTGTTTGACTAATGAAATGAATAAAATCATTTTATCTACTTAAAATGAGCTCAAACGCTTTCCATTAATTGCATTTTATTGTGCATATAATTATTATTGCAAGGCCAATTAGGATTACCTCAATCTAGAAAAAGAAATAAAATCATTGTTTGTTTGTTTAATGTAGAAAGGGCTATTTTTAGACGGTTTGAGTAGTTTTCTACGAAAAACCTAATTAAATTATCGTTTAATAGGCTTTTTTGATTGAGAGAAATTTGAAATTATCTAAAAAATGATACGTCTCAAGATCATTATTGAGTATAGATATATATGGCATTTTATATAGACAACCTCCATTAAATTCCCAATCAATTCCAGGTAAAATGGTGCATGGACGTAATCTGCTTTGGACTCTCGCTGCCGCTGCAGGAGCACGAGACGATCAAGGACTGCGTGAACGTGTACTGCGAATGGCTGACGGCGCTGCATCCGCAGCCTAGGATTAGTGTGCCTAAGCCGATCTGTGAGGATGCCAATCTATATGCCCGCCAGATCATCAACCACTTCCACAACCTTTTTGTGCCGCGCCAGGGCGAAAGTGAGTATATGCTCTCGGGTCACTTGACTGTATAACCTAAATAGGTGCTGCCCCTTGCCTCCATATTAATCCCACTCTAAATTTCAAGTCTTGCCATTTCTATACCAAACCACGCTTGGTAGGTTGCTCGAATTGTTAACTTATAGAATGCTCTTGGGAAAAAATATTGCCTAACCTGAGTTAATATCCTTATTAAATTCGATAAATTGTTGGATATTCTTAAAGTTTTTAGGCAATGTTTTTTGTTGAGACTAAAAAAATCCCCTTAAAATAGTACAACCAAAAACTAAAAGCTGCCCTCAATGCCTTTCAGGTGCAGACACTATTAAACGGCAGGCAGTTCTTTGCCACCGGGTGCTTCGAACTCTTCAGCAAACTGCTCAGATATCGCAGCTGATGGACCGGCAGACGTGGGATACCCTGCTCCTTTTTCTACTGGCTATCAATGAGATCCTGCTGGCTCCACCCACTGTTAAGGACGATGTAGGTGATCAGCTGTGCGAGCGGGTGCTCTCGGTGCTCTTCGAGGTGTGGCTTTTGGCCTGCGTTCGAAGCTTTCCATCACCGTCGATGTGGAAGACTTTGCAGGAGTCATGCGCGATGTGGAGACACCGAGTTGCCCTTGTAGACCAATGGAATCGGGTTAATCTGGCCCTTACCGCTCGGCTACTGGAGTTCAGCTATGGTCCCGCGTTTCCCCAGCTCAAAAATGGTGGGTTTTAAGAGAAATCATTTCAAATTTTGTAACTAATCTTCTTAATATCTTATAGCCGACGAGGATGGCCAGCTGATACCAATTGGCATGTCCAACGACTGTGTGGCCCAGACCTGGTATCGCTTTCTACGGATGATTGGCAATCCTACGGCCCTCTGTTCACCGCATATCATCAGCAAATCATCGCACTTTGTGCAGTGGGCATTGACCCATGAAAAGGGCGCCGAGACGCATCAGCATCCTTGCCTGCAGCAACTGCCGCAGATCTTCCTCAATGCAATGAAGGGCATCTCCAGTCAGGTGGATGCATTTCTGGGTAAGATCTTGGCAAATATTGCTGGGATAAGTCCTTGGAAACCTGGTACTCCTAGTATATTTCCCTGCAAGCTATCTTAATATTCGAGTTTTTACATTTTGGGACTCAAAATATGACGAGTACCAGGTTCTAAATAGTTGGTAATTCCGACTTGGCCGCTCTCACACGTTTAGCATTAGTTTGTGGTAGGCTAGCTGAGTACTTTTCTCTTATCTCTTTGTTCGTTTGTTTATCTCTGGCTTTGCTAACCCCAACAATTGTATCTTAACCGAAAATGCTAAAATGCGTAAATGAAAATCGCCTGAAAACTGTGCAAAAACTAGGCGTTTATCAGCCGCCGCCGCATCAAACGGAAGGTGTGGTGACGAATCTGCTGGAAATCCGGCATTCGCTCAACGAGGCCACCTCCACAACCCTTCAGCAGTTCATCCATTCGAGCAGCGCAACGAATATAGCCAACAACAACCAACAGAACCAACAGAGCCATCACCATCATCATATCCACTATCCGCATTTGCACTTACATGGTGCCGGCAGCTTTCTGCGGGACAATTTCATGAGTAACTCGGCCAGTTCCGCTCTGAACGCCATCATGGGTCATCATGGCAGCCACCACCATCACCAGCATCAGCAGCAACAGCAGCTCCAGATTAGTGCCTCGCCCACCAGCAGCCTTTCCACGGGCGGCAATTCAGCCGTGGGCAGTACAAGTGCCGGTGGCAGTCACTCCGCCGGAGTCGTCGGCAGCATCTCCTTTGGCACCACTGAAACGGCCGCAATGGGTCTAACTGCCACCGCCACGCCCACACCGCCCCTGCAGCGACGTCTAGCCAAAAGCTTCAGCGTGGCGCCCACCATCACACAGCAGAAGGGTGCGACTCTCCACGGAGAATCTCTATTTGGAAACCACCTAATGTTGTACTTTTTGTTGTCACACCAAATAATGTTTAAACTCTGACCTGGCAGACGGTTTTTGGTTATTATTTAAGTTAATGAGGAGTATAGACTCTTATTTTCTGTACTATTCTTTTTTATGATAGCTGCCTTTATAATATAATACAAAGTTAATGTTAAAGTTAACGTTTAGTAAAAACTTTTAGAATTGCCCTTAGCAAACTGTTTTTGGGTAGGTTCTTACGAAAGGAAATTGTTTAAATGTACTTTTTAATTTAAATCGTAGCCTTATTTAAAGATATTTCACTGACGAATTGTTGAAAAGAACGTTTTTCTTACGATCTTTGCGAATTATAATTTTATCGTGAAGATTTTCAGACTTCAGGGCAAGAGGTTATTTCAAAAAGAGAAGTTTAAGGGATTATAGTTTTGCATATATGCAAAATATTATTTCTGTTCTTAAAGCTCTTGAGAAGACTTACCCATAATATTTAAAGAACATCAGTAGAAGCGCCTATCTGCCAGGGCATCTGATCTTCGGTGCACCGAAGCCAACCTTTTGTGTTTTTTTTTTTTTTGCCATGGCGTGCTTCTGAAGTGACTTGACTTGGTTTGTTTTTGCTTGCCTAGATGTTGTTTGCCTTGATCCATCGCCACATTTCTCCCAGCCAAGTTCGCACTCACGAGTTTTGCATTTTAGCTTTTTGTGTTGGCTTTTGCCTTTTGTTTTATTTTCTTTGGCATTTCATTTTTGTATAATTTGTTCCGTAGCATGAGTGGAATAATCTCGGTGTAATTGCCCGGCGCGGATGAGTCGGGCCGAGTAACTGTTGCCACTTTCCACCGACGGATTATTATGCATCGTAATTTATCTCCGAACGCCCACAATTATATAGCATGCTCCCTTTGTATCTCTATCTCGCGCTCCGCATATCTGTGTCTAATTTCTCTAACAATTTCTCACACTTGCTCTGCTCCACTCACCCACTCTGCCCCACCACCACCACCAACACCATATCGCAGGCTTGAGCAAGACCTCGCTTATTGGCCTCACCGGCGGCGGTGCACGCAATGCGATCAGCAGCAGCACCACCACCTCCAGCACCATCGCTGCCAGCACCACCAGCGGTGCCTCCTCCTCCTCCTCCACGGTTGCCATCGGTGGCTCTGGCGGCGGAGCGGGAATCCCCGCCGGTCCGGGAATACCCGGCAGTACGGGAACGGGCGCGGGTGGCGGATCCGCTCCAGTCCCAGTGCCCACAACTCCCACGTCCACGTCGGGTCCGCCGTCGGCGAGCAGCAGCATCAACTGTAAGTGCACTGGGGAAAATGTATCTGATCTTGGTTCATAAGGTTAGATTTATGTTTAATTTTTAAAGTTGTTTTCTCAATTAAAAACGTATTTAAAAGAATTTAATCTAAAATAATGTTATTAGTTAAAAAACTTATTTTTTGAAATTTACAATTTGTTCTCATTTACTGCCAATTTAAAATAGTTTAAAAAACTTTTGAACTAAGATCAAAGTAGCTTTACTTTAGTCCAACATTAACCGCTGAAAACCATCTTCGGATGGTTATATTTTAACTAATTGGACCTATTGTTTTGTGTGTGCTGTGTGAACTGTTTGTGAGCTTCTCCCGTGCCGCCTAACAATCTAACAGATGTTTTAACCGCCCCCCATTGCCATCATTGCCTCTCTGTCTGACACTATTTGCTCTCTCACTCTCTCTCCCTTCGCCGGCGATCACAGCTCTGCCGCTGACTTCAATGGGAGCTGGCGTTGAGCTGGCCGTGGCCAGGCCCAAGTGCAACAGCATTCTCCATGTATTCCACGAGTGGCTCTTCGAGGCGGCGCACATCGGCGGCGACACTTGGCGTCAGAACCGCAAGAGTAAGTTCCGGCTATACTTTTTAAAAAATAACATTTTCAAAGATTAATTTTTGTTTGAAATAATTTTAATATTATATTTAGATTTGAATTTCGAAGATTAAAAAAAAACATTAACATTACTTCACTTTTCCTTCTAAAACCCAGAGCAAGCATGCGAGGCCAGTAAGCGGCCGTCGTCGATGATCATGGAGCATCGAAAGGGATCGATTTCCCTGTCGCAGCCCAACTCCCTGAACGATCCGCAATCGCTGCCGCCCACATTGACTATCGATAAGTATGAGTCCGGAAGGGCAGAGGCCATTGGAACGCTGTGCAAGATCTTCTGCGCGAAGAAGACGGGCGAGGAGATCCTGCCCGTCTATCTGGCTCGCTTCTACATGGCTCTGCAACAGTGCCTGAAGATCACAGAGTCGCGGGAGTGCGACGAGACGTTGGCCAGCATTCTGCTGCACTCGAGTGACCTGTTCCGCTTAGATCTTGATGGGATCAATGTGCTGCTGCCAGGCTTCATTGCTGCCCTGGAAATCGTACTGCCCGATAAGGACCTCAAGCTGAAGACACAGTCGATGGTCTTCAATCGCACCGAGCTGCGCCGCTCGGCCATCAACATTCTGCTGTCGATCATGGTGCTGCCGTTGCACTACCAGACGCTGCCCATCAGGGATCTTACCAGCGAAACGAGCGAGAAGTAAGTGAAGAAGCTGGTTCTAAGGAGAAAAGACTTCATTATGATCTACTCCCACAGAATGTTCACCTTCATCCAGCTGAAGTCGCGGCTGATGAACATCCTGATGAATGCCCTACAGGTGGAAACGGATGCCCAAAACACGCACATGCTTCTGGGTGGCCTGCTGCTTTGCGTCCAGGATGCAGTTACCTTCGAGGAGACAGAACTGGGTGGCGGCAATGCCAATCTCTCGCACAATTCCAGTGGTGTTCAGCACCATGAGGCGAATCTACTGAGTTCCGGTTAGTTTCTGCTGCTGCTCCAAGGGCATCTATCATCTCTCTTGACCTCATTCCATTCTGAATTGTTTGAATTTTTGTATTATTTAATTGCCCTTTTTTATTCGCATTTCCTTTTTGGCATTTTTGTGTTTTGTTTGCTGGCGATGATCAGCGTGCTCGGAGCGTTCCGCTTCGCTGGTCAGCGCTGGCACGGCCAGCTTGGGTGGCCAGACGACGGCCACCATGGGAGCGGGATCGGGCTCCATTCGCGACACCGCATCCGCTCATGATTATCCCAGTCTGACCATTTCCGATGACATGTCATTCGAGTTCGGCCAGGAACTGGAGGGCGTTACCACCTATGGTAAACTTTGTTTTTCTTATTTTTGTATTTTTTATGTATTTAAGGTTTTACTACAATAATTTGTTTGCCACTTAGGGAGTATGATTACTTAAGTTGTGTTTATTTAAATTATTATATTTTTTATGTTCTGAGACGAGCTTCTGTACTATCATATTGTAAACTCTTACCAAAGAGTTAAACCATTTTCAAAATATTTATTCATTAATTGCAAAAGATAATGTCTTTTTAGTCACTAAGTAACGCAGCCTGTAAAGCTTGAATTATAAATAATAATTAGTCATTTTAATACATTTACTATTTATCTTTCCCAGATAACGCCCATGCCTTATTTGTGCGCGCCACATATTTGGTCTGTCACCGCCTGATCTCGTCGTGGAAGACGGATCTCAATGTTTCGTTGGCCGCCTTGGAGTTGCTGTCTGGACTGGCCAGGCTACATATCCGGGAAACAGGTAGAGTGTGCTTCTCTGAAATTCGCATGTGATCTTGGTGTACATATGCTCCTGCAAAGGGATTAGAAACGGAAATCTCTAGATAACTTTAACTCATTATATATCTGTCATTAGCATGAAGTCCTAAACAACGTCTGTGCCAAACTAAGATAAGTTCCATGTTAGACTTAAAGAAAGGTAAACAAGACATGACCCCTTAAAGAACAGGACAATAAGAAGGAGCAGCTGTTTTAAAAGATCTCCAAGATTCAAAATCCTTTGCAAGGGCATTAACTGGCTTCGGTTCCACCGAGGCTGAACTTCCTTTCCTGATTTTAATGTCGTTTGTTTTCTGTCCACCTCTGTTTGTTTATTTTCGAACTGTTGCCATGTGCGTGTTCTTTAAATGTTAACCCTCGGTGTTGAAACCCCAACCTGAACCCCCCACGAACCCCTTAACCCCTAACTGTTTGCTTTACTGTGCAGCCAGGAAATTTACAAATGGTAATTGATTGACGAAGCCAACTAACCTAACTAACGCCACTTTCTTCTGTCTTTCTTTCTTTCTTTTTTTTGATGCGTTTCTTTTTCTAACCGCCATCGAACCCGCACCACCATCACTGCACCACATCCCGAAAATAAACCCTAATTTAATATAACCCACATCGCCACATCCATCAACTCACGATGATATTGCAATTTGTTTCTATATATAATATACATGTATATTTAATTTGCATCTCCAATCGATAACGAATGTATATAACCCCACCACCAATCACCAACCAACAACCACCAACCACCAATCACTCATCCAAACCGCCCACGTAGACACATTAGTGAAAATATACGAAGCTAGTCAGAATCTAACGATAATCTCCTCAGACGCTCTAGAGTGCAAGCGGGCCGTGAAGTGGATCTGTGACTATATCTGCTACCAGTGCTCTCGCCCGCCGCCGGCGCACAGCAAGGATCTGCACAGCACCATTGTGGCGGCCTTCCAGTGCACCGCCGCCTGGCTGATGCAGCATCCCTATTTGCTGCAGGACAAGGATTGCCTGCAAACGGTCCTCGAGGTGGTGGAGCTGGGCATTTCGGGCACCAAGAGCCAAAGTAAAGGCACGGATATACCCAAGTTTAAGGACGAAAAGGAGCTTAAGCCGGCCTCGATGAGGGTTCGGGATGCTGCGGAGAATTTGCTGACCATTATCCTAGAGCAAGTGGGTTATTTCCCCAGCGAATGTGGGCCGGAGTCCATATCCTCGCTGTTGGATGAGCTGGCGCTCATGAAGCACTGCAATTCCATGGTACCGGCGGCGGCGGCCAGCAGTGAGCAAGCCATTGCCAAGTTCAAGTACTTTGTCACCGAGAACTCTACCATACTGGCACTCCTCGAGGAGCCGCTGGGCAATGACCAGGATCCCCAGCCAACAGTGACTTGTAAGTATCATAACTGCATCCAATATCCTTACTTTACTAATGAGTATTCACCACTAACCAGTGCTAATTCGCGGCCCCTTTGGTCGACATGCCTGGACCATGCAGCTGCGCCACCTACCGCGTAGTAAATCTGGAATTAAATACCATGCCGTGAACCCTGGACGACCCATACCCATGAACGATGTGACGCAGCGGCTGGATTGCGAGCAAAAGAATTTCCCAGACGGCGTTGACAAGGTACAGCCCTGTGTAGCGGACTACTCCATACCCACCATCGAACAAATGCGGGAGCAATACGGCACGGCTAGCATTCGGGAGCTGGAGTCCATGCTGGAGAACCAAAGCATACACGAGAAGTTGGCCTGGGCAGAGGCGGACACTAGTGCGGATAGTTTGTCGCACGCTCAAGAATGTGTTCCTCCAGCAGTATGCCACGAGTTCCATGCGGCACGTCTCTTCCTCTCACACTTCGGATTCCTGGGATTCGAGACTCGAAATCCACACAACCCGGCTGAGGCACTGGGTAACCCGCCACAGCGACCGCTTATCGTGCTAGACACCAAGTCTACGGCCTTTGCCGCCGATCTGGATCGTCTGGATAAACTGAGTGCCAGGACTCACGACACTGTCTATGTGTTCTACGTGAAGGTGAGTTTACTAAAGCCCCTAAAATATGAATTATGTTTTTAATTAATTTAATATTTTCAGAGTGGCCAAACGAGTGCCCAGCAGATCATCGCCAATATGGCCGAGGAGCAGTCCGCCGGTCATGACCCGCATTTTGCTAGCATGCTGCAGACGCTCGGCTGGCCAGTTCAGGTTTCGGAGCACTCTGGCTGGACTGGCTTTGCTCACAATTCGTGGTCACTGAAGGGAACGCCCGAGGAACAGCTGAAATCCACTGCCAACGAACTTAACTATAATGGCTCGCAGAGGGTGCTGTACTGGGCGGATGTATCTTCGGAAATCGCTTTCGTGGTGCCCACCACGTGGAATCTGCGGTACAATAGCGACACAAGCGATGGTGGCAGTATCTCAAGCACGGATCAGATAAGCTCCAGCAATGTGTGGGCACGTGGAGAGTCCGAAAGTGCGGCTGTCTTGGCGAAATCAAAGTCAAGGAATCTCAGTCTGGAGTTGGACACGAATCGCAGGGATGCCAAGGAGCCAGTGCCGCCGACGCGTCGAAAAGGAAATGTGACGAAGCCCACGTTACTGGCCCAGGCTCCGGCCAAGATCTTTCTGGTATGGCTGGAGAGCTACGAGGACTACCTCAACTTTCCTCTGGAGGATGTGTTAGCCTATACGCGCACTGGCGAGGAGTTGCATACACTGCAGCTTCCCCGTGCCTCCGACTGCCACGTGATCTTCGTGCACTCGCTGCTTTCTGGACTCCTGAGAGTAAAACTGCAGGGTCCTCCGGGAAGGATGAGCTTCGCTACGCCCCTGGTCGATGGTATGGTGCTGAGCCGGCGAGTTGTCGGAAACCTGGTGCGACAGACGGCACTGAACATATCACGTCGCCGGCGTCTGGACAATGACAAGTAAGTGGAAAAAGAAATAATCCTATATGGTTTCTTTAGTTCAATCTTCTATTGCTTTTAGTTACCAACCTCCGCATGTGAGACGACGACTCAAGGTGCAGGACATCGTCCAGAAGTACAAAATGGATCTAAGCGAGGCCGAGCTGCTGGCCCATCTGTTCCAACGTGCAATTTAGCCGGATATTGAAAGTATTATTAACCCGGATTACTTAGGATTAGCGCCAGCAAAGTGGTCCCGTCTCTGTCTGTATTAACGTGTGCTTAACTAAACACCCACAAACTGATTCGTAATCGGTGTCCACTGAGTGTTACCCGAAATACATATGTATAATCGTATTCTAACAATTATTTTTTGCTAATAAATCTAATTATACTTTGTAAAAGTATTTGTAATATTATATGCCCTGCATTTTGAACTTGTTTCGGCCAATCCGTTCAAGCTGTGCTGCGGAAACAATGGGTGTTCATGCGTATTCACATAATTGGCATCTACATCCGAAATCAATTTGGCCCGCAGCAAGTGGCCGAAGATTGGAGATGATCGCGTGACGAGGAAGTGAAAGCAAGTCGTGAGGGTTTTATCATTACCCTACAGTGTTGGGGGTGGCTTTTGGTTATGTGTAGCTGCTTACTTCGGTGACTACTTTATGGGTATTTATGGTAAAGTGGGTTTAACATTTCTGTTTTCTAAATTATTATTGGTTCTCTGAAATTAAATAAGTTCATGTGGTATCAAAATTAATTAGTGATCTGTAATTCATACTCGTTGATCATCAAAAGCAAATAAATGGGATTCAGTAAATAGTGTAATATTTTCGATATATAAAAGAAATAAAAATTCTTCTTTAAATCTCGTGAGTGAAAGCCCTCTTGTCTCACGTTTGCATCTCTTGTGATCGGCAGCATCTTTTGGTAATTTCACCTTTGACTTGGGAGTCTGGGAGTCGGAACTGGAATTGGGTCCGGTGACCGAAGATCGGAGATCTACCATTTGGACACACACGGGCCCAGCGTTTCGCAACGCCTCCGACCGGCAATCAATTCAAAACTAAACTGTTGCCGGCCGAGGGCCATCTCGTCATCATCAATGAAAGTCGTGATGTAATCGCATAACACGTTACAAATGTGTGGCTGGTTTTGCATATGTTTGGGCCATTTATTTATTAACAAATAATATAAGTTAATGATGAAGAGGCTGCTCTTGGCTTTTCTTGTGATTTTCTCAGCCTTGAAAACGAAATTGGGCAAGCATAGCTCAATGGACGTGTTGAAGCTCTTCGTGGTGTTTCAATTTGATTATTTCTCAAACATGTTAAGAGCCATATAATTAATTACAAATATTATTTAATGCATTTCGTTTACCTCCCATTTGTTTACAAATAATTACGGTTTGAGGCAACTGTCTGGCAATAATTAACCCTGATGGTTTCGATGGAATGCTTTGTTGCCGTAAATCTTTTATTTAGAAATAATTGTGGGAAAATTGAGCTCTGTAAAACGTAAACTTGAACTTTGCTGTTATCTAAGTATTATTTATTTCTTAACAATTAATTCAAGTTGTTTATGAATTGCAATTTCTTATTGCATTTTTAAAAGCTCACTTTTGACACATCCATTTACACCCTCTCTTCAAAGATTTATAGCTTTTTTTTAATACCTTTTTCATAATTTATTCGAAAAAAACTCTTCAAGTTGGTTCAAATTGTTTATTAACAAATAATTTAAGTTAATAATGATGGATGTTTTGTTTATCTTTTTGATAATGACTGTGAAGGATTAGCCTAGGAAAAAAAATACATAACGATAGAGTAGAGGATAGCGAAAAAAAAAAAAACAATTCATTTGGTCTAACTAACTAGGCGGGAAGTGGACGCTGTGCATCTACCAGGCGGAGGGTGGGCCACCGCTGCTCCAGCCACCGGAAGAGCCACCTCCTCCGGAACTCCAGCCACCGGAAACGGCACCACCGCCGCCAGAGCTCCAGCCACCGGATGAGGCACCACCGCCAGAACTCCAGCCACCGGATGAGGCACCACCACCTCCGGAACTCCAGCCTCCCTTGGAGGCACCAGCTCCCTGGGATTGTTGCTGATCCTGGACACGCATCACCTTAAGGGTTCCACGCTGCACAACATGGCCGCTTTTGAAGAAGTCTCCCTGAGCCTGATCAGCCTTCAAGATGATGGCCTTGCCCTTGGAACCGAAGGCGTTGATCAGCTGGCCGTTGATGGCAGCCACATCGGATCCGCCACCAACACCGCCCCCGAAGGAATCTTCCTGCAACACCAACTGGAGGATCTGAGGCAGAATGGCGTTGAACTGCTGGGTATCAAAGGAGGCTCCACCATAACCGTGTCCCGAGGCATAGGACTGTCCGTAGGAGTGCGAGTGACCGTGGCCGTAGGAGTATCCATTGGAGCCACCAGAAGAGGCATGATAGGCAATGGGTGCAGCTGGTGGAGCAGGAGCAGGAATCGAAATCGGAATGGGAACGGGGGCAGGGGCAGGAGCTGGGGCTGGGACCTGTTCGATGATCTTGTAGATCTGGGCTTGCTGGCCGCCATAGGATCCATGACTTTGACCATACGATTGACCACTGGCATAGCCATGTCCCTGACTGTAGCCCTGGACGCCTGAGGACACAATGCCACCGGCTGATCCTCCAGCGTTGCTGTATCCCTGACCCTCCTGCAGAATGACCTTGATGATCTGCGAGGAGCCACCGTGTCCATGTCCACCGCCATGACTGTATCCGTGTCCCTGGGCATAGCCATGGCTTCCGCCTCCCTGGGCATATCCATGACCGCCGCCGCCTCCACCACCACCACCGCCTCCTCCACCTGCACTGGGCGTGGCTATTACATTATAGGTGGTCTTGCTGCCACCTCCTCCTCCACCGCCGCCGCCCAAAAAGGACAGGAAGGTGGCGTTGCAGGCGCAGATGGTGGCCAACAGGCAGATGAAGACCTAGTTATAAGATAATCCGTTTAGCACACATATCCAGCTGGTAATCCACATCCGGTGCTGTCACTACTCACCTTCATTTCAGCGTTGAACTATCTCTGTTTCAAATTTAACAAAAAAAGGTGCAATCGGAGACGACACCTGTGCGTCGAACTGTTCCCGGCTAGTGAATGATGCCACTCTCCATTCGGTCCAACGTTTTTATACAAGAGTTCCGCCGGAGATCCATCGCAAACCGTTAGATGCGGCTATGGTCCGTGACGTCAGAGGCGGAGAGCCGTCGATGTGGAGTCATCACCTGCCGAAAACTATGTTGCCTGCTGCTCTTGTAACTCACTGAAGATCTCAATGGGTCAGTACAGGGTGCTTGTGATGGGCTAAGCTTGGTTTTGAAGAAATCGTATATCATTAGAAAAGGTAAAGTTAGTTCATAATGATCTTCCAAGACGTAATTTTGGTTTATTATAACTTAAGAAATATGGCAAGATTATGGAATATCAGTAGAATTAAGCTTCGAAAAGGTCATATAAATATGAGATTAAATGGTTATACATTAAAAAGGAATTTTTAAATGAGCCACATACTCAATCTTTGGACATTATTTATATTGGATTCTGATTGTTACGTTTATGGGTTAGTTTTAGGTGACCTTTTAGCAGGTGTTGTGGGTGAAAAATTGAATAAAAAATCACAAAGACAAATCAATTTTCATGCAGGTTGCTAGACAATGAAAATCAAACTTTATTATTTGGTTTGAGTAATTAAAGTTATGGGTCTAGAAGAGTAACCTTCTCTTAAAAACTATATAACATCAGATGCCAAACATAGGCTTTAAGGCAAAGTTTATGTTATAGGCCCATAACTGTTAGGAATTCTTTTTTAAAACATTATGATCATAAACAATATTCATAAGCCGTATATCGCATCATCAAATAATAAACAATTTATTTTAATAGCATAGAAAAAGCACCCTGTTTATCTTCATCTATTTCTTCAACTGCCCAAATCGCATGCAACAATAACAAATCGCCGGCGGACGAGGAGCGAAAAACAAAAACAATAACATAATAACAATAACAAATTCAAGCGGATAACACTATTTAACCAGTTAAAGCTTGAGCAGATGCGCTCCACTCCCGAGACGAGGTGCGTCGTAGGTCAAGTCACCGCAACCAACTGACCGGCTTTTTGCATATGATTATCGATTTGAACGGTTCGCTGCTTACACTCTAAGAAATTTTAATAAAAACAGAAGTACATAAATTAGTTAATTAGTAATTTAATTAATATAAAATTCTATTCTTTATTAAGTATTATTATATATGCCTCTTTTTAGTTTCTTTTTATGTAAATCTTTATTGTTAAGCATTTTGATGGTAATTACAATTTCACTTTTAAAAATAGTCAAATTAAATCTTCATTAGAAAACTTTAAACTGCTTGATCATTACTTAAATATACTAACTTTATTTATTTATGGAATTGAAAGCCTTTCATATGTACGTTTATTAATATTTTTGTAAGATAATTTTAACTATTTTTTTAATTTATCTATATTTTATTTCTTTTATATTTTCATTATTCAAAATAGTCATTATTGCCTTTAAGGTAACCTACATATTTATATATATAATATATAAACCCATAATTATAATTTTCCTCTCAGTGTATGTGCTTGTCTATTGCAACAGAAATTTTGGGCTGGGAAGGGCCAGTGGAAGCGATCGTGGATTGGCATCTCGGAATCCCAGGCAGCCGGATTATTATATCATGCAACATCGTTTTCAAATTTGTTAATTTTGTGTGCATTTTTGTATAAATTATTTAATGCGCGCTGTTGCGCATGCCCAGCCATCTCTTTTCGTCCCCCTCCCCCGGCTCCGCGATCTGCTGATGACCCGTTACCAGCACGTTTTTCGGTTTCAGTTTCGCTTAAATAGCTAAAGAAGGAAAACTATCTAAATTACAGTCGAACTTCTGTTGATCGAACGAAATTAATTGGCCAGAGACTAAGCCTAATGGACGGTTACAAATATTTTCGGGCAATAACGGGCAATTTAACGCTTGCCTAAACACTTTTTAATGACTTAAATGTTTGTTGCCAATGACCTGAAAGCATAGCTTTAAGTTTACTTAATTTCGATAAGAACGCAATATGCAATACTAAAGTAGATGAATAAAAATCATAAAATTTTAATTTGATTTATTTACGTTTTTTAAAAGTACGTTTTTTGGAAATTAAACAATACCCAACATTAGAGTCCAACGCTAGGAATCAAGTTCAAGTTAGTTAAGTTCCACTGTTTAGCGATCGGAATTTTATCACCTCGCCCCGTTGTTGTCTTCTACAGTGGGACTACGAGTGTTGTTTGGCCAACGGGTGTCAAAGCATCTTGTATTGGGGCAGGCCGCGTTCCCAGAGACCCAGAGACCGAGAGCCCTCTGAATGGTAATCGGAATCACCATAATACGCCTGATTTGACTTGGTGTGTGCAAATAGTGGCCAACTGATCAATGGGCCAGCGCCGCGTGGACCGGAATCGGCTTATGCAACCCAAAAATGTGGTTTACGATATGTCATATCTATTTAAATGTGTCGAATGAAATGTGTTTTGGCCAAAATTCCCTAGGCGTTAGCTTTTCATATGCCAATGCGATGTGATGACGGAGCGGGGTATTTGTAATCCAAAGTATATATTATTTGCCTAATCTAATATTGAAGATAAAATCTGTCAAGAAATGTGTTAAATATATAACCATATAAAGAAGTTATAACAATAAATAAGATACATTCTTATTTTTTAAAAGATCAAATCTTGAATCTATGTGACAGGGTCTTCTATTACAATTTTTTCTTTTTAGATGGGAGATGGGCCTGGTTGGTAGGACCTCTACCAACTCCATTCTGAAGGCGCCGTGTCAGTCCCCCTTTACGAGGGAATACGAAAAAAGTTTAAAGTTGGCTCACCTGGTAAGCTTCTAATCCGGAATAATCATCGCTCGCTGGAAATCTGACAAATTTTCTTCTTTCAATATTTCTTGACCGAGTTGCCCTTAACCGCTCGTAGCAATGGGTCACTCCTTGGAGGCTCCGGTAGTCAGCATTGAATAAGAACTACGGTATATATCTTCCTATATTTCACTCTTGATCTAACATGATATACAGCATGATGTCAGCAAAGTTGGCTGTGTTTCCTATTAGTTAAAAAATCTCTTGACTCTTTCCACGGCTTGAGGACTATTGGATTGTTCTTGGACTTGCTGGCCTGACTGTTGCTGTACCTCCGGAAGATCAAGCAAATTTCAATCGATTTACAAGGAGAGGTAAGCCATGATAACTTCAAGACAAGAACCTTCTTTCCGACTTTTCAATCAGGACCGAATGAGTCGTATCCATATGAGGAGTAACGCTATGTTCTTGGACTTCATGTCAGGAATGTTGCTGTACTCCTGGAAGAGCCGTTTAGCTGGAAGAGTTTTACCCCTGGAAGATCGTGCACCGCATCATACAAGTCGAGTGGAGTACCAAGCGTTGGGATTTGGATACCTTTTAATCGATTTACAGGGAGTTGATGACTGGCTTTAAGCCATGATAACATCAAGTTCGAGGACCTTTTTTCTGGCATTACTAGACTAACGCTATTTTCTTGGACTTCATGTCAGGATTGTTGCTGTTCCCCTGGAAGAGCTGTACCCCTGGAAGTGCTGTTTACCTGAAAGAGGTTTACTCTGTGAAGATCAAGCACCGGAAAACAGGATCATGTAAGTCGACTAATAGGTGCCACCACAAAAAGGCGCAGTTTCTGAATAAAAAACACGGATTGCTTTGGTTGAAAGATAAGAGTTTGTATTTTTATATAATTTTTCAGTATTTTAGCTGTGTTGCTCTTTGCTGTTCATTGTTGTTGTTCTTGTTGTTGTTCGTTATTGTAATAACTTATTTTAATTAGCTTTTCGAAATATTAGTATTAAATGTGGTTTTAAAAGTGAAATGTAAACAATTGGCCTCATCATAGCGCATTCGCATTGAATTGCATACGTACGTCATCGAGAGGCTCCTCTGTTATTTATTATTTGGTTTTCTAGTAACTTAGCGAAATAATACGAGCGTTATTGCAGTATTGCTTGTTAATGCACTCTGTATATATTTTCTTATCTAGGGCTAGATGCAAGCGTCTGAATTGGATTTAGCCATCGATTCCGATTGTGATTTCGATTTCGATTTCGTTTTCTAAGCAACCCTAGGCGACAACCCTGCAATTAATTATCGAAAATCTAAAGTAAAGCTGATTTCGTGTCTAGGTCTGTGTACGCTGGTGCAGTAACGGTAAATGGTGATCGCACTAGTCTTTATTTGTATGTCTTTCTGTCTGTGTGATGGTGTGTGTGAGTGTGTGTGTGTGTGTGTGTGTGTTAACGCTTGGCGTGAACTTAATTTGAAATTAAGTGTGTCTGTGAGCGAGTGTGTTTCTCTCAGTGTGCTTGTATTAGTGAATGCTTTTAGGTCTTTGATGATCCTCGAAAAGGTTTTCTCTATGCGAAGTTAACTTACGAAGTTCTCGCGCGTGTATAATATAATTATTTAGTTGTTTAAGTTAATATTAATATTTATTATTGCCAGTTTCGATAAGAAAATAATTTTAAGTTATATTATTATTATATATATGCTTCCATTATACCGCTCCTTGTTTAGTTATTGCAATTGTTATAAATATTTCTGGTTTGGTGTAAAGTAAAATTTGTTGACTAGATTTAATCGCTACGCTTCTCTCCATCTTAATACTTTCCGTTACGTTTTTTGCTTTTGTTTGCTGCATTTGCTTTCTCTAACTTGTTTTCTTTTCAGTGTTAATGGGTGTGTGTGTGTGTGTGTGACGGCATGAATATGCATGGTGTATGAGTGTATTTGTGGTTACTTTCAGGCTTAGGCATATAAATTGCTGATTCTCATTCGATTTTACTAGCTACGTGTTAATAATAATCGTAATCATAATAATCGTGATAATAATTGCGATAACAACAGACTAAAATTAATCTCATAATGCAACTGTGTGTATGTGCTGCTTAATTTTTTTGTATTTCTTTATGTACATCAATTTGTTAGTTGAACTTTTTTCAGCATTATTTGTTTTGAATTATTGCTTTCCGGTTCACACGTCGTGGCTGTCGTTTGCTTTTGCTTCTTTTTAGGGGGCGTGGCCACAATTGATGATCTATCGACGGGCGCTGCTTCTTCAGGTTCTCGAATATTACCGAAAGGAACTCTACCGAAATCTTCTCTTGGGCACAGATTTCTTAATTCTCTCATTAACTGTTATACGAAATTGACATTCAATTGTTAAGTTATCGATAAATTTAATTTAGATTGCTTTTTGTTAGCTCAAATCAAAAGAAAGCAAGAATATTTATGTTAACTTCTGGAATGCAATTGCCTAACCCAAGGGTTAATCATCTAAACTTAGGACTTTTCCTAATTTTTGAGCACTAATTTAGTGAGCTTAACACATAACAATGTTCAAATTAATACAATTCGCTCATTCTTAGATATGTCTTTGATTTTGTCAGCAATTTATCGAATAGGAAAGGTTCTAGAATGTTAATATCACAACCTTTAAATAGCAAACCTTAGGCTTTGAAGTGATTTCAAATGGAAAGTAAGCTGAGTTAGCTAGAAATTATTAAAATATTTTTTGGTTTTTTAATGAAGCAGCGCCTGGTCGTCATAATTTGTTGCTTCATTTGGTTGGCCGTTTGTCGAGGACGGATTAACTACTTACTAAAAAATGCAATTACTCTCGTATATATAAGTACTCCCTATATATACTCTATATATAGATATATATATTCTGTGAGTGATCTGATGGAGCTAAACCAATTTTATATATATATAATATATCTTATTTCTCTGCGCGGGACGATTTCTCAAGCAACAGTGCGGGGAATATATGTATATGCGAATGGGGATGGGGGAGCGTGTGTATATAATGTATTCCGATCTGGAACTGAAGTTGAGGAAACCGGCCCCCGACTGGGTTATATCCGATCTGATCTGATCCTGTGTTATTATTCGTTATTAAGGCAATCGCATTTGGTTAATTAATTGTAGAGTAGAGTATATAATGCCATTCGATTTCGATTTGAAAATTGTTGAATTGCTGCTATTTACGGGTCTGTTTTTCAAATTACATAGCCTCGTGTGATTGTGTGTGTTTCTGTTTTGCTGTGTGTGTGTGTGTGTGTGTTTATCTATCTGCGTCTATCTGCGAGATCTCTCGAATGAACTTAGCCTTTAATTACATTAGGTTAGATATATAATAATTAATTGTTTACTTTGTTTACGTTTACTTTTATATGAAATCACAGTCCGTATGTGAGAAAGACTTTATATATGTACTTGATAATGATGATAAAATACATGGTATTCGGGAGGGGATCCGGGGACTCCTCCTTCCTTATGTATATCCTACATATTGCTATATTGGTGTTTTTTTTTACTGTTTTTACTTTTTACTTTATAGTTTTTACTCTTTACTCTTTACTCTTTACTCTTTACTCTTTACTCTTTACTCTTTACTTTACTCTTTACTCTTTACTCTTTACTCTTTACTCTTTACTCTTTACTCTTTACTTATATGAAATATGGGATATGGGATATGGGCCATCGGGATAATGGACTACAATTAATTAATAACAATTTGTTGCTGCTTTGTTTTATTTGATCGCTTTTGGTTTTTCCATTTCCATTTCCATTTTCATTTTCATTTCCTTATTCTCTTCTTCTTCACATATGTGTGTGTATATATCTATATATGTATATATATTGCATATTGCATATATTTAAAATATAAACTTTTTCTTGTTTTTTTCTTTCTTTTTTTTAAATTTACTTATTTGGTTGTTGTTGTTGTTGTTGTTGTTTTTGTTGCTGTTATGAAAGGCATTTGCTTTGTTTTTCGTTTGTCGATTTAAAAAAATTTCGCTTGAATTGTTATCATTTAACTACATAATGCTAGTAATGTCTATATAATAAGATTTGATTTGAATTGTTTCTTTGAGTTTTTTTATTTTTGTTTTTCATTTTATTTAGATTTTTAGTTTTCGTTTAGCTAAAATTTAATTATTCGACGAATTTCCCTTTGCTTTATCTTTTAACCCATATCTATTATCCATCAACCATTAACCATTATCCTCAATCCTCTATCGCCCTTCGCCAATCTTTCATCGTTAATCGCTAATCACTCCCCGTCCAGCGCCTCTAGTCAATCGTTAACAATCGTTTAACATTCGTTAAGTCTACTAATCGATTAATCAAAAAGACATTTGGGTACAGCAACATCCCCATATACTTTGGGTATCCTTTTCGCTTGATATGAACTCTCACAGTAAGATGATATAATGGATCGATCTTGAAACATGTTTTCATTTTTTGGGGCCAGAACGCAGGTTAGTTTTAGAGCTTTTGCCAGGCGATAGTTAACGATAGTACACGATAGTTAGGTTCTAATATTGTCATAAAAGTTTTGGGGGTTCTTTAAATTGCTGGGGAAGAGAGAGATACAGAGTTTAAGAGAGATGAAATGTTATGTTTCTGTTCTTTACTTTTTTTTTTTAATTATCTACTAACTTTAGTTCTTTTCGAGGCGCAATTTTAGTAACCATATTATAATCATAATGATAATAGATCCACAAAAAGTCGTTCCTTAATAGCTGCTCTAATATATTTTTTTTTTTGTTGTTAATTTTTTTTTTTGGGTTTTCTTTGGTTTTTCTTTGGTTTTTTCACTAGATAAAAATTCATAAGCGCCATTTTATCAGCCTATTTCTGATTCAGATTTGATCAACAGTTTTTCTTTTGCCATTTCCCTCCACCCTCCGTGCTAAACTTTTGGTTTTCCCTATTTTATTTTCTCTTAGAAGGCCATGCTGGTTCGTCTGCCCCCCAGGCCACCGCCTCCTCCGCCGGGTCCGCCTCTTGTAAGCCCACTATGGGAGACACTCCTACCCATCCTGGCCTCACTGCCCTTCCGCTCCCTGGCCTTTCTGAGCAAGTCCGAGGTGCTGGGCCTTCTACTGTCCTGGGCAGAGGCGGCTCCTCCTCCTGCTCCTCCTCCCCTCTTGCAATTTACTATATCCGAAGTTGAGGATCTCCTAATGGTGGCTCCATCGGCGGAGGGCAGCTGGAGGCTAACAGTTCCTGCTCCTCCTCCTCCTCCTCCAATGACGCCTCCTCCACTGTAGGGCGACAGAAAGCTGGGAGAGTGTCCAGCGAGTACCGATCCACCGCCTCCCCTTGTCTCCTCGGGATCCACACTCTCCACCCGCAGATAAGGCATCCGTCGCTGCGTCTGATCCACCGCTGGAGCCGAGCTGTTCGGCTGACTTGGAGGAGTGGTGCCCGAGTGACTGCGTAGGCCACTGTACAGGGACTTCAAATGAAAGTCCAGGGACTTGAAGTTGAGCAGGGAGCGACGCTTCTGGGGCTCATCGCTGGAGGGCAGGGCCTGATCTGGACTGCCATTGTTATTGTTGTTGTTGTTATTGTTATTCAGGGTGTCGAACTGGAGGTCAGCTGCGATGGGAACTGCTCCCGAATCGCTGGTGTTGCCGCTGATCAGCAATTGTTGTTGCTGCTGCTGTTGTTGCACATGTTGCTGTTGTAGCTGTTGGTGTTGCTGTTGCTGTTGTTGCTGTTGCTGCTGCTGCTGCTGCTGCTGCTGGAGATGTTGCTGATGCTCCTGCTTGCTTATTGTTGTCGTCATGGTATTGCTACTTAGGCTAGTTTTACTGCTAATCACTTTCAAAAATTTATTATCGTTATCTAAGGACTCCTTTCGTCACTGGATGAGGCAGAAGCCCTGCTTGGCAGCGTCCTTGGCAGCGTCCACCTCCTCGATGAAGGCCTCATCCTCGTGCTTGGGCGAATCGGCGCCGCAGGGTCCGCCGCCGCTCAGGCTGAGCGGCCCCTGCGGGCACGCTGATTGTCACCGGAGCGCCAGAGTCGAGATCATCGGCGGCCGCACCGGCTTGTTCTCCAGGATCCTTTCCAGCTCCAGCATAACGCTCGAGGAGAGGCGTGGCAGCAACTAAAATAAAAGAATTTCGAAATTAAACATACATCACAATTTTCATTAAGGACTTTCAGTATTATAAACCTTATTTAGCATTTTATTTCATAGAATTGAAAATTGGATTATTATATTGTATTCACCTGCAACGATTGCAGGCTCTGATGGAGCTGCTCCGCCGAAGTGGCTCCCAGCAACAGACACTGAACAGGCTCGTGCTTCAGCGACCAGGCGATCGACAGCTGGGTAGGGCTGCAGCCCAGCTTCTCGGCGAGGGCGGCAAGGTCACGAAGGCGGTCGCAATGGCGGCGCCCCTCCTCAATCCGGTCCTTGCCCCAACTGCCCTGCGGCGACAAAGCGGCCTGAAAAAAAATATTCACCATTACACATTGCTCAGAAATTACGTAAGCAGAATTTGTACAGCTAATAACTATGAAAAAAATGTATATTTTAGTTTTTAGAAATAACAAATATTTTCTCTGTTAGTTTAGGTCTTTGGAAAGTAAACTTTAAGCCTTGAAAAGTTTTTGTTTATTACTCGAAGAATGTTTTTTGTGCACAACAAATTTCTTTGCCTACTTTTAGGCACTTTAATAAATAAGTTCTTAAGTTCATTGATAGTTCCATGCAATATTTAATTAATAAAACAAAAATATATTATACAACTACTGTTACTCACATTGCGATTGATCTCGTCTTCGGTCCACGAGAAGCTCTTCGTCTTGAAGGATCCTTTGGGCAGAAAGAGCTTATCGCCATTCTGAGTATCACTCAAGGCCATCGATAGAGGACCCCAGGCCATGAGGCCTACGCCGATCTTGTTGTACATCTCCGGCAGGTAGAGCTCACACTTTTCGCGGCAGAACATATGGTATTCGGACTGCTCCACGATCGGTGTGATGCAGTTAAACTGGCGGCAGTTGGTATAGGCCTCCATGATCTCCACTTGGCTCCATCGAGCGGTGCCCCAGTACATTGCCCAGCCCTGCTGTATCACGTAGCTCATGGCGCGCACCACTTCTGGCAAGGAAATGAAAAAGAGTTTACAAAATATGCAAAACTAATTACGTTTCAAGCCCCTAAATGGTAACTAACAGTTATTAGAAAGGTAGCAAGTATAAAATATTATAATTTTCCATTTCTTTGACTGGTCTTTGACTTAATCTGATAATAACTTACCCTCCATGGGGCACATGGGATCCGCCTTGTGGATGATGACAATGTCGATGTACTGCAGCTGCAATCGCTGCAAGCTGGCCCGCACGCACTCGATTATGTGTTTCCGGGAAAGACCTCGTTCCTCGGATCTATGAAAATGTAATAATTGATAAGATATCCGTCAAATCTTTTTTTATTTCTTAATTTATCTTATAAATATATCTGATTTTAAGAGGCTGAGAACTCAATATATCCTGCTTGAAAGGTTTTCAATAACGACTTAACATTTTTCAAAAAACCAAGTTTTTAACAAACCTTCAGTTTGATAAAGCAATTTATATATTTCCTAAACGTTATATAGTTTAGCCATGTTAATATAATGCCTGAGAGGGTTTATTCAAGTTAAAAATGAGTATTCAGCCAAGCCTTTGAGGAATAAGGTCCAATTGGTAGTTACAAATGTAAATATTTTGGGTTATAAAAGGTAATATCTTCTCATTATGCAGAAAATCAAAACAAAATTAAGTTCATAATTATCTAAGCTCATCTAATTTATAGTCTAGATATATTGAAAAACTTGTAAAAGCTGTAATTATCAAAAGTCATCCTTTAAGTTCCTTAAAAGTTTCCCTTTAGATTCCTGACTTCCCCTACTAATGGTACTTATAGAATCAAAACTCACTTGGTGCTCCAGTAGACCTTCGTGGTGATGACATAGGCGGTCCTTTTCCAGCCAGCCCGCTGCAGGATCTTGCCGATCTCCGTTTCCGAGTGCGCCTCCGAGATGTCGAACAGGTTGATGCCACTCTCGATGGCCAGCTTGAGTATGGCCTCCGCCTGGTCATCACTGACGCCTGGCGAGAAGACCGGCCAAGTGCCCAGACCCACATTGGAGATCCGCAACCCGCTCTTGCCGAGATTCTTGTACCGCAGCCCCGGCGTCGGAGTAGATCCATGGCGCAGAGGCAGCGCCGGATTGGAGCCCAGGCTGATCGAACGGCCTGCACGGAGCGGAATGCCCAAATAGACGGTCATCGCGGTTGGATTTTCGGGATACAAATAGTCGAGTGTTCAGGTGCCGGCATGTAAATGAAACATTTCGTTTGGGGAAAATGTGCGTTTCGTTTAGTGGGAGACCTTTTTTTTTGGTTGGTTGGAGGAACGGGCTTTGAAAGTGCCGGTAAACGTGCAAAAACCAACAGCAACGCAACAGCAACAAGAATGGTAACAACACAAACGCAATGCCACAATAAAAGCCAGGCTAAATCAAGGTGACGAAGTGCCAACACTCTACACAAGAACCTTTTACTAGTTCTTTATGGTCTAAGAAATAACCATTGCCTGAACTGTCTTCTCTGTAAAGTCTTTCCCAGGTTTTAAACAAGTTCTTTTAACGAGATTTCAAAAAGTTTAAAAGTTTAAAGTGAGTTATTTTGAATACTTTTTACCTTTAAAGATAATGGGTTCGATTATGATAAAGGATTTTTTGGGAAAATAAAATCAATTCAAGCAATACAAAAGCTTAAAAATAAATAAAAATTAAATTTAATAAATTTTCATTAAAGACAAAGTAAGGGTCTTGGTTTTCTGGCCTGAAAGTAAAATTGCTTCAGGTATGAAAATGCTTTTTTCAATTAGCTAATTGAGACTGCCTCGGAGGAGAGTGTATGAAAAGTACAAAGAGCGCGGCATGCAATGAATGAACATGAATAAACAAAAGTGACATTTTTCCGTTGGTTTTTCCTGCCATCTCCCGTCGTCCCACCCCCTTAGTTTTTCCTCTTCCTCTGTGAAAAGTGCGTGCCGTCCGGTGCGTGTTTTTTGTTTACTGTTTTTTGTATTATTTTTCTTTTTGGTTGCGTGATTGTGGCAGGTGGTTCGAGTGGGTGGAGTTGTTTTTCCTTACAAAACGAATAAAATAAATTACAACCCGAATTGCATGTTTCGGCCCTTAGCTGAGCACTACGCCCTCACCTTAATTCGCTAAACAAAACCAACAATTACCGACAGCTGAACTACATTGATTGCGGAGTGCTTTAGTTTTGGGTTCTTTTCGTACGACATACGGGTATACTATATATGGCATATATTTCATTTACTTGGGCTATTTTGAAGCAAGCGATACTTGCTTGATTGTGGTAGCATGCAGAGGCAGGCAATCGAAAACAATCGAAAAAGTCGAACAATCGACAGTAAACAACATAAATGATAAGCCTATATGATAGTGAGAAATTTGATACCGAAATCAAGATGACCGCCCGTACCACTGAACTCCTCCATACAGTCGAGTGACGCAATGGGAGCCCGGCACCTGTAATTAAATATGTAAATGGTGGAGGAATTAGCAATATATAAATATATATTAAATATATTTTTAATATGTTATGGATTTTTTAGAAGCATTACATTGTTTACACAATGAACTGAAAGAAAGTCAACATATTTAAAAGGACATTCATAGAGAGGAATACATTTTATTTGTAATAAATCCCATTCCTACCGTAATTACGTTACGTATACGCTACATTGTCAAAATGGGCTCTTTGTCTAGTAATTTGTTTTTTTATATACACATTTCGATTAGGTTTTTTGAAAAGGATTTAAGAAAAATTTAAATAAATTCTGAATGATAATAGGTATCATGTTTTCTAAGTAAACTTTTTGTTAAATATAAATTTTGGGTTGTTTTGTAAATTTAAATTAAATTAAATTAAATTTTTAAAATTACCATATTTTTTGAAATATAATTTATACTTTGTGTGGATTTTATTTATGCACTTTCGTAAATTGGAAATAATTTGTATATTTTTATAAAATATGTTGTGTTACTTTCCCTCTATTAGGGAACAGATAAACAGGCCCTCGAGTCGGTACAACGATCACACCAACCACTTAGCTTCTTCGCTGGATAATGCAACTATCAGAAGACATCTAAAGCGAAGGCATCCAGCCGATCTCTGGACAAAAGGATGCCAAATTTCTCGAGTCCTAAAGCAGTAATCTAGCATTGGTATTAATAGTATTAGTATTTAGCCTTGATCTCTAGTTATCTAGTTATCTGCTATGTATTTATGTTATTTGTTCATTGTTGTTCTCAACGTAAGTTGGCTGATTGACGTTTAATAAATGTTTTTATTGTTATATCAAAAAAAAATGTGTTACTTTGCATCGGTAATGCACTGTGAATAGCTCTTTAAATACTATTAAACGTATAACGAATAAGATATGGCCAAAAAACCTTTCAAAATTTCAATAGTTTTGAAAGATTTTTGGAATTGTAAATTGTTTTGTACAAAATAAGGGAACCGCTTAAGAGTGATTACCAGATATGATTTTTATGCCTTGTATAAATCATCATATTGGTCTGTCAGTATGTCAATATGTTTAATAATCTTATTAATTTCGCTAATATCTGAGTCAAATTTTTAGGGCTTAATATATGGTTTCGAGATTATTAATAGATTAGAATATATATTTTTAAAGGTTTGAAACTTAAACAAAGATAACTTTTTATATTATATAGGTTTTTAAATTATATATGTACGAACGATACCAGATAAAACCCAATATATTCCATATATATAGACTTTTCGATCTGGTGACCTCTGACGCTTATACCTGTATATGGTGACCGGGTTCGATTCGTCGCTAGTATTGTCCACATTGTTGTTGTTGTTATTATTATTATTGTTGTCGTTGGTCGAGGGAATCACGCCCATGGCGCCATTACCGATCATCAGCTGCTGCGTCGTGGGTCCCGTTACGAAGTTCAGGTTGGCGGGCAGCGCCATTAGCAGTGGCGGTGGCGTCGCCATCGGCAGGGGCATCGAAGCTGGCAGAGGCAGCGGCGTTGCAGCAGGATCGCTAGCCACCGTAGGCATTTCAATCGATGTTACCGTTCCGTCGACGACGTCACCTCCACCGCCGCCGCCGCCGCCGCTGCTGCTGCTCTCTGCCGCAGCACTACTCTGGTCGTGGCCCAAAAGCAGCGGCGTACTCTCCTGCTGGAGCGTGTGCGAGTGCGAGTGAGCTAGCGACGGCGCTGGCACAGTGGCCGACGACTGTGACTGCGACTGAGACGTAGACTGCGCCGCACTGCCGTCGCCGTTTAAATTGCATAATGCCATGGACATTTTCTATTATTTTATTTCACTTTTATTATTGTTATTATTTATTAAACTAAACTTAAGTTTTTTTTCAACTTTATTGCTGTTGTTTTTAGCGGCTGATTGTTTTGCTTTCTGTTTAGTTTTTAGACACTATTGGACGCCATTGTTTATTCTAGGTTTGCAGATTTATTCAATATTTATTCAGCTAGCGTGTTTGCAGGAATTTATTGTGTTTTTCTAAGTTTTATTTCATATTATATCAGGCATTTGATTTCTATTTGAATTGATTTTGTGAGTTTATTGTTGTTTATTTGCTTGTCTCTTTGCAATTTAAATTGAATTTTCTATTAAAAAGGCTTCTATTGATCCAACTATTTGTTCAGCTATTTGAATTTATTTTGTCAATTAAAATTGTCTAGTTTATAAAGTTAGTTTGTAGTTTGTTTATAATATTTACTCTTCTTTCTCTTCAAAGTTTTCCAAAGTTGTTTGCATGTTTTTAGGATTAAGCTAAGAATTATCTTTAGTGTTAGCTTTGCTTTTATTATTTTAAATTTATATAAATCTCCTTAGTTTACCAACATCGCATACGTTATGTTCTGATATTTTCGTGTCACTTTTAGCAGTTGTTTTAGGTTTCTTTAGATTAAGCTACTAAGACTGGACTACAAATCACAAGGGACTTTGTTTTCTAAATAGCATACTTTTAAGGCAAAGTCCAGTCCGATAGATGTTTATATTCGTGTCGCTGTCGAAGAGATTAATATGAAAACTTATTCCAATCGCCCGGATCTGTTTGCCAAAAAATACAAAAAACCCAATCGAAACTTTTGCCAAAAGTTTTGTCACAATAATTAAGAAGCCGAAACAAGGCAAAAATAAACAACGTTTTCGAGAGAGAAAGAGGGAGATGGAGCAGAAGCTTTTCACCACACTCAGAGAAAAGAGAAGTGAATGCTCGAAATGAGAATATAATAAAAATACATTCCGGCCATAAACTTCATGTGCACTTGGCTCATAAAGGAAGCCAGCTGCCTTCTATTTGTTAACACGATCTAAAGCTGTTCAAATTGCAAATCTAAGAGCATTAATTTTAGATTATTTGCCTTTTTAATATAAATTTTTAACGATTTCTTAAGCTTAAAATCAAATAATCGTTTTCTTACTTAAGAGCAAGATTTTATAATCGTTTTTCCAACAAATTTTAACGCACAAATATCAAAGAATACAAATAGAAAATTTAATGGCTTTTAATTTTAGACCGCCGGCGGTCCATTTAATCCGCCTCGTGGCAAAAACATTTACGGGTCCGAATCTATCTTTATCCGCCAATGTATCGACGACGGCGGTTCTTTTTGATTTGCCACTATCGAAGGTTAATTATAGATTAACCTTGACAATGATTCAGAATCGGTCAGACAGCTTTTCCGTCTTCATTAGCGGGATCAATTCGGAAAATGCACCATTTTCCTCAGGGGAAATCGAAGGCAATCGCAAAGAGCAAAAGAGAAAGAGAGTATAAGAGAGAGAGACAGCTTTTCACCACGACCGGTGTATTTGACACCACAAGAACAAGAATAATTTGCACCCGCTTTTCCCCCTTGCATTTCCCTTTCCCTTTCCTTCTCTTAACTTTTCCTAACTTTTGACGTTTATGCAACGGTTTACACAATAAAACTGACACCTCCACAGGTAGCTAGATTCAGGGCACCAGAGACAGGGGCTCAGTTAGACTCTTTGCATCAGGGTTGGAATTCAAGAGCAGGCGCCTTTAGTTTTGCTGCTAAAATCTAATGAAAGTCTATGAAACAGCCACAAATTATGTCAATGGGAAACCATGGAAAAACCTTGAAAGTTTCTTGACATTAGTTTTGGTTTTTGGCAACACTATTTTATAAGAATTTCAAATATTTTGATTGTTTTTTGAAATATTTTAATAGTGGGGTATAAAAATATAAATATTACCAATCAATGGAGTTTGGTTCTAATATAAAAGCTATCAGCCTTGTGAGATTTTGGATTGGATTCTTGGTAAAGTTCCCTGACTAGACTTGTTCTTTAATATTTATTATCTATTAATAACAAGGTATTTTTCCAAGTGCACTGGTTAACTAAAAAAGTAACTATAAAACACATTTCTTACTCCATTTGCTGTAGAGCCTACTTTCCAGGGATCAATGACCATTCGTAAGCTGCATCTCGGTGAAAAGTTTCGAGAGGCAGCTGCAAAGTTTGCCATTTCTAGGCCACAATGACAGTTGACTGAGCACACACAAAAATAAATACGAATATCTATATATATATATATATATCTAGATATCTGGGTATATGCTGCATAGGCAGCTCTCGAGGGGCAGCCGAGGTGGCTAATCTAAAAATTAAACTTTTAGTCAGGTGTCGCATACAGACAGACGCCTGTCTTTATCCGTTCTATCCTTGTTAGCCTTGTTAGCCCCGATTATGCCCCGAGTGGGTGGCAAAGGGGCAAAGATTATCGGGCCAGGTCACAGGCACTCTAACCTGATGGGCTAACTAGAGGTTACCGCACGTATCGAACATCAATTCATTATGCTGATTAATTGATTTGTTAGCTGAGCAATATGTGGGGATAGTTTTGAAGCCAGCTAGTTTGGGTTTGAGTTGGAAATACGTAAGATAAGATTTCAAGGAGCCAAGCCATAAGTAGGGTGTTTGGGGGATCTAATGGATGTCAGAACTATATCAAACTGTCAAATCAATCAACCTTCTTCTATATTTTAATCTAGATTTTAGTCTAAGAAGTTCTGAGAAAAGAAGTTATAGATATGATGGGACTGTCTAAGAATAAAAATTGACTTTGATTGATATTCTTTACCCTCTATTGGCCTTACAATGCCTCTCAAGTGGCTAGTTATTAATGATAATGCATATTATTAATGTAAATATAAGAGAATAAAGTGCATCCAGTGATATCTGTCTTAAAAATCGCCTAACTTTAACATTGAAATGCATTTTTAATGCTCGAAATTGACGTGGCGTGCAGTCAGTTTGACTGGGGACTTTGGTTTTTCCGATCGAATCGAAAAAAAGGGAAATGCATTTATTGCCATTTCATCAGCTTGCCATTTGGCCATCACACGTGTGTCAAATCAGTGCTGGTGGCTCTGTTAACCCACTGCCATGTTCTCTGTTATTTTATTTGCAACTATATTCCACCACCCCC